AACCACCTCCCATCCCTGTTCAGTCCGTGGTGTCCCCCATCAGAGATGAGGCTGGTGAAGCTCTAGGTGAGACCACAACACCAGCACCCCATCAGTGGGATGAAATGAGCTGCAAGGTTATGGCCATTGCACTGTTTCAAAAAGTCATGAAAAGTCAGATACATCTGAATGTTAGTCTGACTTGCAAAGATATTGAAACAATCAGCGGGACACTGGGGAAGTTGCTTTGGGAACAGATCGCAGGATCTGACATTGCTGTCAAGCCAAGCGGCCACCATATCAAAAGGGTGGCAAAGGCGGTGCGCAAGGAGTTGTGCAAGGAGACAGGTGACAAAGGGATCTTACAGATGTGCCTGCTGTCTCGGGATGTATCTATTTACAGATACATAACTGAGACACTGAAAAAACATCTGGTGATGCCAGAGAAGAAGACTGGCGTGAACGCATTCTTCTCACGTCTCTTAAAGACCGTGGGCAAGCCATTCACCGCCTGCTTTGGACGCAAAGAGTAATCTTTGGCGGTTTCAAGGCGTTAGGACAAACATACACAAAAATACACGCGCAGTAACTGAAGTGACATAGGGTTTACTCCGAGAGGCTTCGGTTCGCCCACATTTTAAACCTTAATGAAAAAAAAACTAAGTATGCTTTGGATACAAAGAGTAATCTTTGGCGGTTTCAAAGCATTAGGACAAACATACACAAAAATACACGCGCAGTAACTGAAGTGACATAGGGTTTACTCCGAGAGGCTTCGGTTCGCCCACATTTTAAACCTTAATGAAAAAAAAACGAAATATGCTTTGGACACAAAGAGTAATCTTTGGCGGTTTCAAAGCATTAGGACAAACATACACAAAAATACACGCGCAGTAACTGAAGTGACATAGGGTTTACTCCGAGAGGCTTCGGTTCGCCCACATTTTAAACCTTAATGAAAAAAAATCGCTCTGTGCTACTATCCTCAGATGTCGATTGGTTGCACAGAGGAACCAAAGTTTCTGTGCTTTCTTGTTTGGTTATCATGGATCCTGGTTGACCCCCACATTGCCTGCTTTGGACAAAAGAGTAATATTTAGTGGGTACGACACACGCTTAGTAACTGAAGTGGCAACGGGTTTACTCTGAGAGGCTTTGGTGGTGGTAAAACCTTACATCTGATGATCTTGCCCAAAAAAACAGTAAGACCCAACTGGTCGAGGCAGACGGCCACCCACCTAGAGCCGGGGTCTGTCCGAGGTTTCTGCCTCTTAAAAGGGAGTTTTTCCTTGCCGCTGTCGCCAAGTGCTTGCTCAAGGTGGGAATTGTTGAGTCTCTTTAAATCATTTTATAATTCACATCAGGTGTCATAGGGCCACACAGGTGCCTCAGCATTTAACACTATGGCCTTGCAGCTATAAAGTGAGAGTTCAATTCAGACCTCTCTCTTTCTTTCCTTGCTCTTTCCTCTCTCTCTTTAGCTATCAATATCCATTAAAGGCAAAAAAAATAATTATTAAACAAAATAAAAATAATTGAAGAATAAACAATTGGTCTCATAAGAGTCCCTTCCTGAACACAAGCCTGATATGGCAATAATCAAGTCATTTTCATTACATTTGTGTCGGGTGATGTACGCGTGATGTGCCGTACCACGACATGACTGCAGCATGCCCTGACAGATCTGAAACACAAAGGAGAGACCTGAAGAATTATGACTGACGTTAGCAGGTGATACCTAGCAGGGAGTTAAAGCAGTGAATGCTTGAGATACAAAAAAGTCATTATGGTATAATTTAATATAATATAAAAATTGTAATTGTCAGTTTATAATCAGTTTAAAGTAGAATGTGTTTTGTTGTGTGACTGAAAAATCCATTGATTTGATTCTATTCATAATAATGGAAACATTACTTTATTACTCTTTTCAAAGGGAATATTATTACTTTACTTATTACTCCCTGCCAACGAGTTTGTTAAAATCAAAGTAATGGACACACAGACATTAGTAGCATGCAGAATGTATTCATTCAAACTTCGACAGATTCTGTTTTCCATCATCAGAACAGGTCTACAGCTATCACTGCACTTGTTTATGCTCTGTATAAAATTCCAATTACAGCACATGTACAATTCAATGGGTTTATTGGGTTTTATTTTTGGGTAATTGTCATCATGTTAATTGGCTAGCTAGCTAGCTCTGTGACAAAGCTGTTTTAGTAAGGGAAGTTGAAAGAACAGAGGCTGACTGACACTGTAATAATTCTTTCTTTATTATACAAGCCTTCAGTTTGGCCATGTCCCATCAGTAACCTCTGTTAAATGATAGTTTTTTTATGTTATGCACAGATTCACTTCATCCACACAATTTCTCTGACCAGAATCTAATATGTAAAAGAAAACAAAGTAGTGAAAACATGTAAATATAATTAAAGTTATATGTACAAATGTATAAAGTGGTGAGAACAAAATGTTTACAAGGAATCTATATGTATATAATCTATAATATCTTAAGACCGTGCAGTGGAAGAGAAACATACATATTCAAAAAGCATTTGGGGCACAGAGAAGTTTATTAACTAAGTTAACTAACACAGCAGTGAAGAAATGCCACAACAATCAGCTCTCAGCATGACATGACAACAAAATAAGTTTAAGTTAATTCAACCCATGGCCCGTAAAATACTCTACGTCTACGTATACTCTACGTCTATTTAAGGTGGAGCCGCTCTGTGAATTTGAACTTTGTTTTCTTATTTAAAAACTGCTCTTTCATGTGAAAGGAGACCAAGAGAAACCAGAACACACGGGTGATTTTAATCTCAAATAAAGGAGGAAAAATTCAGTGTTCAGTGAGAATCATAACCCACAGAATCGCTAATTAAGGCAACAATTAATTAATTTATTTATTTTAAATGATGCAATCCTAGACTGTCTGTAAAAAGTGAGTTTCCAGAGGTCAGGGCTCTGAACAGATGTGCATTATGAGATGTCGTTTTATTACTGTTCTTTTTAAACCAATGAATCTGAAATCCAAGACTCACACTTTAACTTCCTGCAGTGTGCTGACGATACACAGCTGGTTGGCCTTTTGTGTGAGTGGGGCTCTGCAAATGATCGCACATATTTCCATCATGTAATTACTCTGCAACATTGATGTGAGGAGAACTGAATGTAGCTGAAACCAAAGAACTTATCTTATCAGCAACACACAACACACCTCATAAATTTCAACCTTTGACCATCACCTGTAGAAACTAGCAGCAGTTTTACTTGACTTCACAGACAGATCACAGATGTGGTCTCTATAAATGTTACTATCTAAAACAATTACATTTGTCTATGAATAAATTTAAATGTAATTATAGATTTCATCATAAATGTATGTAAGTGTTGAGAACAGGAACGATACAATGTAGAGACGTCTAAGGCTTTCTCCATGAAGACCCTTGCAGCGGAAGAGAAACATCATCATACTAATGCATTAATACAAAATTCAACAAACATATGCAAGTTTATATTTTCGTGCAGAGAAATGTCAGTACAGGTAAATAAAAATAATCCTGAGCAGTAATAGACTCCATGGCTAAAACAGACACAGGATCAGTGCCACCTGAAGAACTCAACCAGTGCAGAAATCAATCAGCTCTCAGGCAGAAATACATTATTTGAGGAATTAAAACGGAATTTAACCCACTGGCCTGCCACTAATAGATCCTCCTAAATGTTACACATTGGAGCTTTAAATAACTTCTGTTTATTTGAGTTTACAGAACTCAACTGTGTCTCCATAATAAGAAAACCAAAATCCAGCATAGAGAGGCTGAGTGAATGTGGTCTGGACTCTGTGGAGGAGAGTCATGGTTTCAGAGACGCTGTAGAAGGACAGAATACCTGCACTGTGATCCAGATACACTCCAACTCTGGAGGACTGAGGACCTGAGACACGAGTTAGGACATTGTTGTACCAAAATATATAACTGTTCTTGTCACATCTTAAAGCCCAAGATTTGTCATTGAATCCAAATTTACATTCACTTGACCGTCCTGCTCTGCTGATATTCTTGTATGCGACTGCTACATCAACTGCTGCCCCTCTCCACTCAGACTCTCTCTACTCAGGACCTGAACCCAGTCATTGAATCTGTCTGGGTGACTAGAATAAGACTGATGTTTACTTATTACTGTTGCTTTTCTGTTGCCCTTACATAAAAACAGCAGTGTGTTTGCTGTGTTTGGATCCAGTGTGATTTCACGTGAATATTTTAAGAATCCAGCTCTGGTCTTGGACTCTGGTTGTGACAGTAAAACATCCACTTCAGTCACTGTCAGTGAGACGTTTGTCCATTTCTCTCTCAGAACGTCCTGTAGTTTATCTCTGAGCTCTGAAACAGCCGCTGTCACATCCTCAAAGTACCTCAGAGGACGGATATTGATGCTGGATGTAGATTCACTGAGTGCTGACAGTGAGGGGTAGTTGTGTAGAAACTGGGTGTGGTCCTCTGTGTGAGACAGCTTCTTCATCTCAGCGTCTTTCCTCTTCAGCTCAGTGATCTCCTGCTCCAGCTTCTCCTGAAACTCTTTGACTCGACTCACTTCAGTTTCCTGCTGGGATCTGACCTGCTGCTTCACATCAGAGCTTCTTTTCTGGATGAGACTGATCAGCTCAGTGAAGATCTTCTCACTGTCCTCCACTGCTTCATCAGCAGAGCGATTGATAGCCTCCACCTCCTGTTGAAGCTCCTTCACATCTTTCTCTCTGTCCTGGATTCTCTGCTGGATGTTTTGTCGACGCACCTCGAGCTAATCAGTACGGCAGAACATCTTCATCACCTCATCATGACGAGAGCAGATGTTTTCCCGGAGCTTGTTGGAGGGGTCCAACAGCTTGTGTTTTTCAAAAGCAGGGGATTCAAAGTGAGGCTGGAGGTGTTTCTCACAGTAAGAAACCAAACAGACCAGACAGGACTTGATGGCTTTCAGTTTTCTCCCAGTGCAGACATCACAGGACACATCTTCAGGTCCAGCATAGCAGAGATCAGCAGGAGCAGCTTGGAGTCCAGTCTTCTTCAGCTCCTCCACTAAAACTGCTAACATGGTGTTTTTCACCAGGACAGGCCTCGGTGTGAAGGTCTGCCTACACTGAGGGCAGCTGTGGATTTCTTTCTCCTTGTCTCCATCCCAGAAGCTTTTAATACAGTTCATGCAGTAGCTGTGTCCACAGGGAATAGTCACTGGATTCTTCAGTAGATCCAAACATATCAAACAAGAGAAGGTTTCCAGGTCCAGTCAAACTTTCTGCGCCATTTCACCTCTCAGTGGTAACGTGTCTTTGATTTAATTAAATTACATTCCCATTGTGCTGTAGGAGAACTCCCGTTTTATGCTCCACGTGTAGCAGCTGTATTAATGTCGTTCACAGGCCGAAGAACACCAGTCACACCAGAATCCACAGTCTGCACGTTACAAGAAGATGGGGCATAGTCAGTACACAAAACACACACACACACACACACACACACACACACACACACACACACACACACACACACAGTGACAGACTCTATCGTAGTCCCTAGCACTAGTGCTACCCAGCTTTTGAGTAGTTGTATATAAAAGAAATCATAAAGATAAACAAATGTTAACAGTTTGGAAAATTATGCTGTAAATGAATACCTGAAGCCAGTGGTTACAGTAAAACAAAATAAATTCTTAGTACAAATTCAATATATATATATATATATGTCTGATAATTTCCCTTTAACTAAACAGTATTTTACACAAAGTGTTCTTCCTTTGCACTTCAAACTGAAGTGGTACAGTTACAGGAAGGGTGCAGAAAATCTCAAGGGCAGTACAGGCTTCAAAAATGCTCTGTAGCTGCATCTCATAAACGGAGGATGAGCTCCTGACGGAAAGAGAGTGATGAAATGTGGTACTGTAGGGCCTATATGGTCTTTAAGCGCAGCATTTTGTTTTCAAACTCTGCTGTGAACTCGGTCAACTGGCCCCCAGCTAATGCTGTCGGTTTTAGAACTGGAGCAAAAGTTTCACATTTGGCTGCTGTGGTCTGGAACATTCTGCTGAACTGTCTGTGGGGGAGTTTCAGGCTACAGTTATGTAGCATAGTCTGCAGTGGCAGGACGTTGGTTTGATAGGAGGGGGCGGAGAGCGGGTTCGGTTTGTTACAAAAGCTGTCACTACGTACAAACAGATTCTGAATGCAATCCCTGTGCTCTCTGCAGTGTTTTTATCTTGTGTTATCTCACCAGGCATGCTCTTTTTTACAATTACGCTTCTCCTGATCCTGAAACTGCATTGGAATCTCAGTTGCTTCTACTACTCAGGAGGCCTCAGTGATAAGACTCCCATTCACTGTGAATGGCCTGCAGCTCATCCTGTAATGCCGTGCTGTTTGGGTGTGTATGCTTAACCAGGACAGGTCACTGCATGTTATTTCATAGTGCATATTATAGATGTTAAGTGTGTAGTATTTCTTTAGAAATACACTGAGCACATTTTTGATGCAAAACATCATTCCATTTTCCATTTTCTTTTCTAAGGTTACATTGCTACATCAATACTTATTATTGGCTATTATTTTTTTCACTTATTTTTATTTAATTATTTGGTGTTGAGGTGATCAAAAGTTATGGAAAGTAATCAAGTTACCTTAGTTAAATATTGTGATACTTGGATTAGGTTACGGACTACATTATTAAGTCATTTTATTGGATTACATTTTGAACCCTCCCAACTCTGTAATAAATTCATCTTATTTTGGGATAATACCTGCCTCCTATTTATTATTCCTGCTCGGGGAAACCACATGAAGGTATTAAAGCTTCCTCCTGCTCCTCATCAGCATTTCTAACATTTTAGAGAATTGTTAGAAAACAAGGGGCCTTACCAAAGTATTGTTGAAGCAATGGATGACAGGATGGAAGAAATCAAAAGCAGACAAAGGTTCCCGTCTTTCAGTCGATCAAATTATGTACTTTAATCACCAAAATTATAAAAAGCAAGCAGCAAAATCTGACACAGAGTAAAAAATAATGAGCCTGCTATTCCTTGTTAAAACAGGAATGCTGTCTCAATCTCTTCCCTCAGTGTTACTCCTTTTATACAGCCACAGCTGAGGGGGTTTCCAAAGCCTGTCCGAGGGTCAGAGTGTTCTATTTGGTAAAAATGTAAATTCAAAGCTTTCATTGGTTATTCAGAGTATGCATACATCATGTATACGTAAGCATTGGTTATGAAGCGTGTGCATGTACAGAGCATACATGACCTAAGTTGGCAGGATGCGGTTTCTGTCTCTTGAAAGAGTAGTTCAATCTCTTTAGGCACAGCTTCCTCTTTGCTTCTTTTGCTCGGGTGGACAGCACTGGCACAATGCACTCTCGGCCTTTGCCCTCGAACAACGGCTTCCTTCTTCTCTGCTAGAATGCTGGTTTTCACTTTTTGGCCACAAATGTCGATGCATTCATTTCAAATCTAGAATGTATTGCTTTCTTTACAGTGCTGCAGACGTTTCCATTTTAAGTAGGACTGCTTATTGGGGGCTTGTGGGTTGCATGCCAAAAACTACAAGCACGTTGGTAGTTTAGCTAACTGATGCACATACATATACATATCCTGACAGAAAATCTTCAGATAAACCATTATTATGTACAACTAGTTGGCAACTGCTTTCTCAAGAATCTTAGTGAAAAAAGGGGGAAGTGAGATATACAGTAGGTCTATAGCAGGGCTGAAACAAGTCCTTGAGTAACTCGAATGACTCAGCTACTAAAAATCACAGCTTCTTTTAATCCATACAAATATACACAGCCACACTCTGGATAATAATTTATGGATAACATATTATACAGGTAGAGTAAATAAATCAACAATCTGACATTAATTAATTTACTAGTAGCTTAGGCAGTAGATAGACAGATAATTTGTGCACTACTACTGCACTGATGTGGCTTAAAAACTATTGTTATCCAATTTGTTTTCTCCAAAAATCTTAAAAATAATGGGATGTAATAATAATATACACATATTTAGATCAGGGAAGTCAGGCCCCGTACCAAGTTCTACAACCCTGTGTACGGCCCTGCACTCAACCCTAACACACTGTGGTCAAACCTACCTCAGTAGCTGGTAGAACAAACTAAAATCAGTAAAACCAACATACAGTCGAACAATGTTAAAGGTCCAGTGTGAAGGATTTAGTGGCATCTAGTGGTGGATTTGCAGATTGCAACTCACGTCACCCCCCCCTTCAAAGCACAAGGGGGAAACTATAGTGGCTGCAAAGCACGGGAAAAATGCAAACGGCCCTATCTAGACCATCTGTTTGGTTTGTCCCTTCTGGGCTACTGTAGGCAGGTTCAACACTCCATAGAAGGTGACCCAGATCATCTGTACAACTCATTCTAAGGTAACAAAAACATAATGATTATTTTCAGGTAATTACACAATAACGAAAACATAGTTATGCATATTATATTAATTTCTGTCAACAGATCCTCATAAATTATGACACAATTCTAAAGTTTCTAATGAGCTTAAAACAGGGTCTGAAACATGCAGACAAAGTGAGCCGAGGTGCTTTAACCTCCAGGTTGAAGGCGCCCTCTGATGTTGGGCATCAGTTTTAATATTTCAGCAGTTATTTTGCTGAAATACTCACTGCAGGAAGTTTTACATATAGGTATAGTCACACTATGTCAGTTTGTTCACAAGAGTCACAACCCCTAACACTGACGTTAAATATATGTCCCGCGGCAAAGATGAAGAGTTTCCAGTTTACAAATATTATTCATATCAGCTCTCATATTCCCAAAATCTATTTACAACCGTGACTTAAGGGCTAGAGGTTAAAATGTCTCTGTCTTTTTGACTTTTGAATAGACATGGGAACACTTGTAACCAAATGGAAAGAATGGTACGATCGTTTCATGATTTTATGACTTCACATAAATCTCCACCAACCATAAATGATTGTGTCGTAATGACTTAAAATGAGACTGAACGTGTTGCTTTCAGGTGTCAAGTCCTTCTGATGTTTACAACCCAGGATCATCTGGCTGTGAGGTGATGGTGTTAAACACAAAACCAACAAAAAAAACTTTCATGTTCAGTTTAATTTTCATGAAAATCAACAAAACAATACATTCAATTATTTATAATAAGTCCACAACTACACAATATTGTCTTCTGTCTTGACCAAATTAATTCTACTGTTTTTTAGTCTTTTAGGTCTGTGTAATAATCCTCTTTATTTACTGAGTGCACAAATACAATATTGGCTGTAAAAAGCAACAACTGATAGAAAACACATTGTTAAATGACAATTTTTAAAAATAATTGCATGCACATATTCACTTCATCCACGCAATCAATTTCTTTGACCAAAATCTAATATGTAAAGTAAAATAATGATCATAATAATTGATTATGATCACAACACACTCCTGCCATAGTGAAAACATGTAAATATAATTATAGATTTCTTTACAAATGTATAAAGTGGTGAGAACAAAATACTTACAAGGAATCTATATGTATATGATCTATAACGTAAGATTGGTGCTTTCTCTCTGAAGACCTTTGCAGTGGAAGAGAAACAACAGCAAAAAGCATTTGGAGCACAGAGAAGTTTATATTTTCATGCAGAGAAATGTGAGTTCAGGTAAACTAAAATCATCATGAGCAGTGAGAGCCTCCAAGACTAAAAAGGCACAGTAAGGAGCTCCAACTAAAAAAACTCAAACACTTACAGAACAACAAATTACCATCCATAAGAATCAAAATGCAGAATTTAACCCAGTGTCCCTTAAATGATTTTTGTCTATTTGAATTAATAGAACTCAGCAGTGTCTCCAACACAATTAAGCCAAAGTCCAGCATAGAGAGGCTGAGTGAATGTGGTCTGGACTCTGTGGAGGAGAGTCATGGTTTCAGAGATGCTGTAGAAGGACAGAATACCTGCACTGTGATCCAGATACACTCCAACTCTGGAGGACCGAGGACCTGAGACTGGAGTTTGGGCATTGTTGTACCAAAACTTATAACTGTTGTTGTCACAACTTAAAGCCCAAGATTTGTCATTGAGTCCAAATTTACATCTTGAAATTCCTGCTCTGTTGATATTCTTGTATGCGACTGCTATATAAACTCCTCCCCCTCTCCACTCCACCTCCCAGTAACAACGTCCAGTCAGACTCTCTCTACTCAGGACCTGAACCCAGTCAGTGAATCTGTCTGGGTGACTAGAATAAGACTGATGTTTACTCATTACTGTTGCTTTTCTGTTCCCCTCAGATAATAACAGTTGTGTGTTTGCTGTGTTTGGATCCAGTGTGAGTTCACGTGAATATTTTAAGAATCTAGCTCTGGTCTTGGGCTCTGGTTGTGACAGTAAAACATCCACTTCAGTCACTGTCAGTGAGACGTTTGTCCATTTCTCTCTCAGAAGGTCCTGTAGTTTTTCTCTGAGCTCTGAAACAGCCGCCGTCACATCCTCAAAGTACCTCAGAGGACGGATATTGATGCTGGATGTAGATTCACTGAGTGCTGACAGTGAGGGGTAGTTGTGTAGAAACTGGGTGTGGTCCTCTGTGTGTAAGAGCTTCTTCATCTGAGCGTCTTTCCTCTTCAGCTCAGTGATCTCCTGCTCCAGCTTCTCCTGAAGCTCTTTGATTCGACTCACTTCAGTTTCCTGCTGGGATCTGACCTGCTGCTTCACATCAGAGCTTCTTTTCTGGATAAGACGGATCAGCTGAGTGAAGATCTTCTCACTGTCCTCCACTGCTTCATCAGCAGAGTGATTGATAGCCTCCACCTCCCATTGAAGCACCTTCACATCTTTCTCTCTGTCCTGGATTCTCTGCTGGATGTTTTGTCGACTCACCTCGAGCTCTCTCTGCCTCTGCCTGTGATCAGCAAGAGCAGCTTGGAGTCCAATCTTCTTCAGTTCCTCCACTAAATCTGCTAACATGGTGCTTTTCACCAGGACAGGTCTCGGTGTGAAGGTCTGCCTACACTGAGGGCAGCTGTGGATTTCCTTCTCATCTTCATCCCAGAAGCTTTTAATACAGTTCATGCAGTAGCTGTGTCCACAGGGAATAGTCACCGGATCCTTCAGTAGATTCAGACAGATCGAACAAGAGAAGGTTTCTCGGTCCAGCTGAACTCCTTGCTGCGCCATTTCACCTCGCAGTCACAATGACTGTCTGAGTTTCACTTCCTTATAAATTAAACTAGTTTGAGCTCTGATCTAAACAGCATGTGTTTCTGCAGCGAATGGGGCCTGTCGGCTCTTTCACGTCACCACATGTTGGTTACACCCATCCTTCAAACTGTAGATCTAAAGGGGAGGGAACAAGGAAATATGTGGACAGAGTGGAGCTCGCTGTGTTTGAGAGCAGGAAGAAGAGGGAGGAGTTATCAAACTGTGATTCAGTCCAGGAAGAGGAGCAGTTTGAGAGGATATACTGAATTACTTCATAGTGTAACTTGAACACTGCTTTCTTAAATCCCTCACTGTCTGGTCAGAGCAGAAATGCTGATAATGCTTTCAAGCCAAATGAGAAAGAGTGTAGAGAAGACTAAAATTACATTCAAATATTTGGCTTGTTGTAAAAACTCACAGAAATTAGATCACAGATTATTCAGAAAACTAGTCAGACAGAAAAACTCTCCACCAAACATAATTATAATTATAAATGATAATTATGATAAAGTCAGTACAATTCCTAAACTTCTTTATTTTAGAACCAAATATGTGAATGTTGGACCAACCAGGATTGATAAATATGTGCTTAGGCTTAGTTTTTAAAGTGGCCGCAGTATCTGAGCACTGTCATGTAAGAGCCTGAGAGCTTATGAGGAAATTAACATGAGTTGTTTTTGTCATAAACTGCACAAATCCCAGAAGTAATGGTAGAAAATGTTTAATATCCCAAGAGAGAAACCTCACTTCCAGTTCAGACTGCAGAAATAGCTATTTACATCTAACAATCTGGTCAAAGCCTCTTGATTGACAGTGTATATAACGGACAGAGCTTTCGAGTTTTCTTAAGCATCTTAAACCTGCATTCTATGTAATGACCAGCAGGTGGCAGCTCCATTGGCTTCAATCACACACAGATACCATTCAGTCTTATGGAGAAATGAGCCGACTGCTCTCTTGATTTATGAGCTCAGTCTGTAGTTTCAGTCTTCTTCCATACAGCATGATGTCCATTTAGTAAACTTCTTTGGCACAGATCCTGGTGAGGAAGAAAAAGCTCCTTCAAGGTGAGACAGCTAATGCTGTTATAGTGTGTTTCTGGCTGTTTAATGAATTGTTCGAACATTTGTATTTGCATTTATATGCATTAAGACTTTCAGTCTGTGACTTGGTGACAGTTGATAGAAGTCACAAATAGGTTCCTTTAAATAGAAAAATGCATCACGTTATGCTTATAATAGAAGAAAGAAAATCACAAACAGGTATGCAGAGTGTCTTTTTATATTCATCGGATCAATTGTACTTCCTTTTATACACTGCAGTCATCTTATATGAGGTCCTGCACTAATGTAAGACATCTGGCATTTCTCTACCACGACATTGTGACAATGAGCGTCTACCCCCACACACACTTGTTTGTAACAAGGAAACACATCTACAACAAACCTCAAACTGACCTCTGCACGTCTGAGGAAAATAAAATCTGAAAGAAACTAAAAACCACAACACCTGATTCTGAATTCATATTATTGTGTCCAGTCATTATGAGGCACTTCATTTGATCGATGAAATATGTGGATTTATCAAACTGCCTGAAACTGAAACTGTTCACTTTACGCCCGGTAGCAAAGAACAGTGCCGAAAACACTTCAAGTCACTTTTTTTTAGCATGAAGCTAATCCTAATATAACCACTTGGTAATATTAGCTGTGAGCTACTTTGTTAGGTTGCACCTAGCAGGGCTCATTGGTCCTGATAACTGTTTTAGCAAATTAGCAGCAAATTAAAAAACTATTCTATAAAACGTTAGACTGCGTCCGGAATCACTCCCTTATATAGCGCACTTTATTTACCCTACGGACGCTGAGTGGGACATTAATGCATTACAGTGTCTGAAGACTCCCACATTGGGATGGTATGTTCACTACATCTGTTTAAAAATCAGATTCTATAGCTACAAAAGTTAACAGGAGCGTAAGTGATGACACAAAAACAAGTGTGTCATTTCAGTTTGCTGCTAAATAAACTATTGAGCGTCCGTTACATCAGGTGTGGGGAACGAGGGAACGAGGGAGTGATTTCGGGGTCAAAGGCGAGGTCCTGGCGAAGCCTCAGCAGTCGGACTCGGGCATCCTCTCTGGTCGAGCTGCTTGACAGGTGCTGGGCGGGGTGAAGACGTCGGGGTCGCTGATGCCCAGCTGCAGGTTGAAGAAGCGGGTGGAGGTGGTGACGCTGCTGTTCCTGGTGTAGGTCTCCTGCACCGGGTAGCAGTCCTTCACGGTGTAAACGCCCACCCAGGTCTCATCTGGTGGAGAGACGGGCAGAGAGATTATGGCACAGCTCAAAGAGGAACTGGAGGTTTTTATTCCACCAGCTGCTCTTTCAATCTGGTAAAAGCTGCTGCGGATGAAAGCTCAGCCAGAAGGAGCGTCCGTCATGTGACGCACACAGTACGATACATTTTCATATAAAGGGACTGCCCGGACTTACGTTGGCGGGCCGGCTTCCTGTCTGACCACTCCTGAACCTCCACGTTGTCCCCGGGGCCTCCGATGACGTACTGGTCCTCGAAGGTGGAGTTGTCTGGGATGTCGAAGGGATCCCAGGCCTCCGTCAGAGCGATCTTAGAGCAGTCCTTGGTCTTCTGGTCAATCTGGAACATCACCATGCTCTGGTACAAGAAGATGTACTCGAAGAACCTGAGCACGTGCAAAGAAAGAGGCAGCAGAATGAGCTGAGAACATGCAATCGGACATGTTACGACCGTACTAAGTTGTTTGAGTTGTTTCGCCCTTGACAAACAACGTGCAATTTCCTCATAGCTTTCCAACCAACACCACCGACGTCTGTGTCTTTGCTGGAAGCGAGGTTGATGAGGGCGGTGAGACTCAACCATACAGAACGTGTGCCATAAAACCAAAATTATAAGATAAAATAGGCTAAAAAGGCTGCACAGAGCTCCAGATTTTAGATTTTCACATTATATGTTACACATTACTGTGCACACAGTTCATCTCAGTGGTGCTGGACGGGGATGAGCCAATCATTGAAGGTATCTGTGCTCAGTTATGTTTTAAAAACTCATCTTGTGTCTCTTCTCTCACACGTGGAGCATACAATCAATATGATTAACATCCTGTAATGTATTGAAATCCCTGTGAACAATGTGTTATTCACCACATCTGATGCTGTGACTCTGTACACCAACATATTACACGCAGAGGGAATATAAGGAATTAACCTTTTTCCAGTCTTGTTTGCATTAACTAAAAGGGCAGAGGGATTGTTTCACCCCACTTACAGTTGCCATGAATGGGAATATTAGCTGTAGAGACAAAAACTGTTGTTTGTACCACATAAACATTATTTCTGCTGTGAAGTATGGGGCCTAATGGAGACTGACTCACTGCTGCAGCCAGCCTCTAGTGGCCGTTAGAGGAACTGCAGTGTTGTAGTAACACGCAGAGCTGCAAACTAAACAAACCAAAGTCGATCAGCAGGCTTTGTTCTCGTTTACCGGCCACAGAATATTTCTCGACTGCAGATTTGAGCCCTGGCACAGAGTCGGGGTTGGTTTGTTTGCAGTAAATAACACACACTGCTGCACTGTGGGGTTATTATGGGCTGTTAAAGTCCAACAGGCTCTACAGAAGATGGTGCCGTAAATATAAGAACCCTAAAAGTTATCATATATATATTATTATTATATTATCAGCCATATCAGGACGAAAGATCTAGACACTTATTATTATTTTGTATTATGTGCATGTGTATATGTTTTTGTGGTGTTGTTATTATTGTTATACTTTATACCTTTGTTGTTTTTCGTACAATGAAACTTAATAGATATATGTGAGGTTTAAGCAATTAATACAAACAATACTGAAACTGGTGATAGTGTTGACATCAGAATGTAAAGCTGAACTTTTGTATTATAAATTGATCAAATGACTGTATAGAGTAATACATAAAATATAAAGTGACAAGCATGCAGCCTTTTAGCCTCTTTTAGCTCCTAATTTTGTTTTTTATGACACTCAAAAATAAATAGATATTAACGTGCTGCAGTGCATCGACCAGAAATGTTGAGGGGAAAGCCGATTTAAAAACCAGAATATGGTCTTGGTTGTACAGAAAAGATGTTGTGTTGTGAATGTAGATACTGCATAATGAATACTAAGTTCCATGTGTGTTAATATGTGTGTGTGTATAAGTGTAAGGCTGCACAATTATTAGAAATATTACTGAAATCGCAATATGCAAATCACAGGAATCAAATAAAGACAATAAAAACATTAACTCTACCTTACATTATCAGAAAGTGGCACTGTTAAAATGTTCTCAGTTAAATTATACAGTTATTAGTTTAGATCAAAATAAATCATTTAAAGCTCAATCAAGAAAAAATATGAATTTAAGATGTTTTTTTTATTACATTGCAAAGTCAAAATCCTGAAATTGGACTATATTGAATCACTGAATGGATCCTACACACGTTTTATTTAATTATCTTTTTATGTGCTCATGTTTATCTGTTTTCCTCTTAACATTATTATTATTTATTGGATATAACTGTGTTTATATGTTGTATTTAATCTATATGTGTGGTGCCTTTTTATCCAGATTGTACTTTAATGTGTTTACTGGCGGGTTGGATGGAGATAATGTAGATACAGTTTATTTATATTTATATTTATATAATAAGAAATGGGTTCTTATAATACAAAGACCTGAACTCAGACTGAGTCAGCTTACTTCTGACACGGGGTGTGTTTCTTGTTCTGCTGCAGGACTCGGATCCTCTGGTTCAGGCCGTCGTAGGAGACCGCGGCCCGGTTGTTCCTCCCGGTACCGTGGTCATACAGAACCCACCTGCCCTCCCACTGCAGCGGGGCGAGGCAGGGCCCGGCGGCCGGGGGGAGCCGCCCTGCCCGGGGAGGCCGAGGACAGACGCTCCGGCAGCGGCCAGGAAGGCGAGCAACAGTCGGTGCATTGCGGCTGGAGGAACGGGAGTCCCGGTTACTGATGCCGTTGTTGTTGTTGTTGTTGTTGTTGTTGTTGTTGTTGTTGTTGTTGTTGTTGATAACGGGCAGCACCTGCTGATGATGCGCTGACTGCAGTTGGACCTAACAGGCTTTCCGGTTTGGTTTTCAAAATAAAAGTATTGTATGAACCATTTTAAAATGTAAATGACTCAAAAAAATGTTTTTATACAGAACTTTAATGTAGTTTATTAAACCAATAATCAATAATAGAATTAAAATAAGATAAGATAGACTTTATTAGATTTATTTATTCAATTTGCTTTATTAACAGAATACACATTAAGTAAGAATAGAAAAGAAAAAATACAAGATTTAATAGAAATAGAAACTTAAGATTTTAATTTAATAAAATAAAAAAGAAATAAAACTATAGAAAACAAATTAAATATTTCAATATTCAAAACGTCGGGATCAAATAATAAAACAAAGTACACATTAATAAATACAAAGAGAAATAATAAGTAAAATATATTTTAATTGATTTATTTAAATCTTTATTTTTACATTTTAAACGTTTATTTATTTCTTTGTCTGCGGTTCTCCTTCCCGCCACTGGAGGGCCGTCGCATTCCTTTTACGGTGTGGCGCGGCCGTGATGACGTCCCTTCGCTCGCAAACATGGCGAAGAAACAACAACGTGGAGAAACCGCTCCGTCCTCAAAGTCCGCGGGAACGGACCGACGGACGGAAAGCTTCAGTTTGACTCTCGCATCCAGCGACGACGAGGCGCCCGAAGAGGTGACCTTCGAGGACTCGAAGTCTGCGGCTCTCCGGAGCATGAAGGAGGCGCTGGACACGGCCAGAAGGTATCCAGCTGCTTCGAGCTTATGGAGAGAGCGTCACGCCGAACTCCGCTGAAAACAGTGCGGGTTTAGAGGTTTTTCCTGCTTATTGGCGTGATTCACTCACCACAACGAGGTGTTCTTCGCATGTTATGATTTCTTCGGGATCACTTTTCTCTTCGGCTCACACATTTGGCGCTGAGCAGCAGTTTTATTTGATGAAATGTGTGTAATTGTTTCACAGGCTAACAGCGCTGCCACCTGGCTGCCGCAACGCGCAGTCTCGGTTTGAGACGGCAGAAAATGTTGATGTATTCCGGTAATGAGGCGCTGGTTTTGGACTGCATTAATGCCGATGTGTGAATAGTGTCAATTCAAAATCCGTAATTTATACAGAGTAGACTTTTGATGCCTGTACGTGTGCGTGTGAGCTGCATGAGCAATATTTGACACTTATTAAATGGAGTTTGGTTGACAAGAATAACACCAATAACTGTTTAAACCAGGATTACAGCAATGTAAGGTAACAACTGATCTCTGTTTGCAGGGAAAAAGAGCTGCTGAAGGAGAAGAGGAGGAAGAGGCAGGAGCTATTCCAGGAACAGAAGGTGTGTGTGTGTGTGTGTGTGTGTGTGTGTGTGTGTGTGTGTGTGTGTGTGTGTGTGTGTGTGTGTGTGTTTCTTTCCAATTAAAAAAAAAAAAATATATAATAGGTTTGGTACAGTAATGTGTGTGTGTTAGTGACAGGTGTGTGGTCTGTTTTTTTTTAGCGTTTTTTTTGAGAGCAGCAAGGGATGCACCCACCTTTTAAAAAAAAAGAAAAGCTTAAAAAAAAAAATATTTTTTTAATTTTAATTTTTTTTTTTTTTTTTTTTTTTTTATTTTTTAAGAAAAAAAAAAAAAAATAAAAAAAAAAAAAAAAAATTTTGTGTCTCACCATTGAAGTAGTCGGCTCGTCGTAACACATCGTGATGTTCAACCACTGTGCCACCGTCAGACGGTCGGTCCACTTCAGTCCAGACTGAAATATCTCAGCAGTTCTGTAGACATTAATGTCTGTCAGGGGGAGTTGGTTTAACGTTGGGGGTCCCATGAACTCTCCTTTTAGCCCCTTTAATGACTCGCATCCTGCCCTCAGATCATAAAATCTCTAATGAAGGAGGTTTTCTTTGTTCTAGTCATTGACTGCTGTGTCTCCGTCTCGTTTATTTATCGCCCACAGAAAAGAAAACTGTTACCGACCGACGTGTTGGAGGAAATCGACTCGGCTCCTTCAAAGTAAGTTTACCCACCTGACTCTCAGATCTCCAGAATCTCCTCAATCTCCGCTCACTGAACACTGAAACCTGCTTTATTTTGTAGGGAGCAGAAACAGTCAGAGGATGAAGGTAAAGAAACCCTCCCTCCCTCCCCCCCTCCCACTCACACCAGTTTAACCTTTAGCTCTCGCCTGTAGAGCAGCACAATGAGCTTCAGTCTGACTTGTTTTCTCCCCAACTGTCCTCACCCAGCTGAGGAGGAGCAGCAGGAGGCGGGAGAGGGAGAGGACGACAGCAGGAGGAAGAAAAAGAGGAGGAGGAGCGGGAAGCTTCCACATTCCCGAAAGTATGTGAATGTTCCAGCATTATTATAAGAGAGAGAGAATAATGATGACTGTGAGAGGCTGAGTGGTGTAACTGAACTGGTTCCTGTGCGTCAGTCTGAAGGGAAACTACACGGTGACCACGGTGACGGAGCGAGCGGCGGCGTCCTTCCAGCAGCAGACGGCGGAGGATTTCATCCAGTCCAGACTGTACGGAGCAGGAAGCTGCAGGAGCACGAGTAAGGAGGCGTTCACAGTACCAAGACTCCACTATATCTGTACAGAGGGAGTCTTCCTCTGTGCCTTCATCACCATGAACACACACACACACCGATCTGCTGGATTAATGTGGATTAATCCGCCGCTGAAAATAGTCCCCAGCAAGTGCACATTTTCAGTTTGTTTGAGTAAACAGCAGGTTTAGACATTATGAGCCCGTTTAATTAGTGAAACTAAAGGTTTGTTGGAAGTATGAAGAGATGAACTGATGTTTGTTGTGGTCTTTTAATGGGATTGTTGTTCAGGTGAAGCTGCTGTTTGTGTCCAGATGTTTAAAACCAGCTGCAGGCTACACTCTGTGGCAGAAGTCTGTAAAGACGATGATCTGTCTCAATTTGAGCTTTGCTACAGTGACGTCCCGTCTCGTCCCGCTGAGGCGTCTCCTCCCCCGGGGACTCCTCCCGCGGACACGGCGGCAACATTCCCGTCTCTCAGTCAGACTTTGTGTCCGCCGTCCGGCTGAACGTGTTCACACTGTCTGTCCTCCTGTCCTCAGGTAACGAGCTGCTGTCCCTCCAGAACAAGAAGGGCAGGAATAAAAGTGCAGCGGTGCAGTTTGTCAGGAAGGGCTGGGGTAAGTTGAGCTCAGTGAACTGGAGGTTTGTCGTACATACATCAGTAAAGACACCTGAGACGATTATCAACTGCTCCGTAAAGGCTGCTGTGGATTATAAAGGATGTGCTGCAGCTCAACCTTCGTACATTAGTGTCATCACTGCCTTCAGTACACTCACTATTTTCTACTCTTTGATATTGTAGATATTTCTGTTCTTAGTGTGGAGCAGCTGTAACAAACAGACTTCCCCTGAGATCAATAAAGAGAGAGTCTCTTCCTCTGTGCCTTCATCACCATGAACACACACACTGTAGTTTAATTGGACTCTCACACACACATTTAATTTAAAAACTAGAGTAAACAGCAGGTCTAGGAGACTCCGACGTCCACCAGCACTTGTACTTGTTCAGGTGAAGCTGCTGTTTGTGTCCAGATGTTTAAACCAGCTGCAGGCTACACTCTGTGGCAGAAGTCTGTAAAGACGATGATCTGTCTCAATTTGAGCTTTGCTACAGTGACGTCCCGTCCGTCCCGCTGAGGCGTCTCCTCCCGCGGACACGGCGGCAACATTCCCATCTTTCAGTCAAATATGGTTGAAAATGCAGATTTCCTGTTTCTCTCTGTTGGACGTCGTATTAAACTGAATATCTTTGGACAATCCCAGTGTCTCAGTGTTTATAGCCCCCAGGAATCTGACCACTGTCTCTGTCTGACCCTCCAGCCAGTAAAGAAAAAGCCAAAGCAGAGAAGCTGAAGAAGCGGTGGATCCACAAGCAGCAGATTCCCTCCTGCTGACCGGTGGGACGTCTGGAACACCTCGACCCGGGACAGAGGACCCCCCCCCAGCACCGGCCCGAGCAGCACAGAGTTCACTGCTTCGTCCTGTGCCTTTAATTTAAAAGGACGCCGTTGTATAGACTGATGGACTGAATGTGGACGCAGCACTCAGTGCCTCAGCAGGGTTCGGCGGCAGTTTCTGAACTGAAATGTTTCCTCACGTTTCTTAAAGAGAACATTTGTGTTTAAGGATGTTTCTGTAATAACTTTATACTCAGTAAGATCATTGTTGAGATCCTGAGACCTGCTCTTTTCTTTTTCTGTGAAGTGACTGTTCTAAAGTCTCGTTATACTTTTAAAACACATTAAAGAGTGTTCAGCTACTACATGGAGCTCTCAGGAACATTGTTTTTCAGCAGATACCAACAGTAACTCAGTTAGTGAACCTTCACACTTTAAGATCCACTCACTAACGTTTGCTGAGGAAGATGTGGGATGTGTTGAAAGCTCACAAAGAGCTGGTAAATGTTTATCATTTTCCTTTTTACATTAAACTATTGAACTCTTACGTTCACTTTAATATTAATCAATTAGCCACTGATCAGCAGAAACACTGGTTTTCTGTTTTAAAGTATTTTAAGTTAAATATCCTATCTTTGTTCTGCAGGTTGGACAAAAAATAAAATACAATCTTAAACAGAATCAGACTTATATTTGCTTTTCGCAAAGAAACGCAACAATCTTCTGCATTTGTTTAGAAAGTGTCGCAACTATTCCGTTCATCTTTAACTGTAAGATCTCCTGCAAACGCACATTTATGTTTCCAGATGTTCTGAACGCTCAAATATACATTTTGGTCTCAGCAGTCTAATATCAGTTGAACTTTATCTGAAGGTCGGGCTCTGCACACTTACAATGAGTATTCTTCCATTTCTTCACATTACAGACTGACAGCTGAAGCACTGCACTGCCTTAAGGGCCCAGAAACATCATCACCTGGGTTTTAAAGGTGGACTTAAAAGTGTGTTTAAGTCCACTTCAGACTAGTGATTTAGGATTAAACTGACCTCTGCACAATAAAACACGGTTTGGAGGCGGGAAGACAAGACTTGAGCTCCGGGCGTCATGCAGCATCCAGACAGGAACCGTCATCATTTGTCATTTTTAATATAAATCTTTTTCACCCTCACACAAATTGCACTTTTTTTTTTTTCTCCAAATGGACACACAGTCAGCAGTGGACAACTTACTGGTTGACATCTTCCTTAAACACCGTGAACTGGCTAAAAAGAAGAAGGAGAAAACAAAAAGAATAAAATAAGAGACATCTAACTTGATCTTACCACCACTTTACTATGGCATGCATAGGTTTCAGACCTTACTCAGAAAGAGACAACAGACACTTTGTCTAAGAAGTTTTCTAAACGATGCCGTGACTGCTTGCGATCCGAAAACAAAAACAAAACAAAAAAAAGAAGAAGAAACAAACCGAAGGTACAGAAAAGCTCGGTTGCACCGTGAGAGGAGAAGTCACCTCCAGACCTCTGGGGGGGGGGAACTAGAGGAAAAGATGGATGTGGTGTCTTTGCGAAAGCCTCGGCGTTCCTGTTTCTCTGCAGGTGGCGAGCACGAACACACAGGCTTCAAACACACAGCTGCGATGTCGTCTTCCTAAAGTATTTGGTTCTTTATTAAACGTGGTAGCCACAGTGCAGTCGACAATACTGAATGTTTTTTATGGTTTTTCTGGTTTTATTGTCCCCGACGATGCTTAAAGCACTAAAACAAAAAAAAACCCCAACCTAATGGGTAGAGGAAGCTCGCCTCTGAGGGATGATGGGAAGTTGGAGACACGCGGACTTGAGGGCTTTTCATACCTGAATGCTAATTCAACAGCAGCTTTAGAAATTATAACTAGACAGCAAAATGCTACCAGGGAGCAACGCGGAGGCGACTGAGGGTAGTTCAGGGTCGACAGTGATTATCGGCCAAACTGAAAACGAGCAAAAACAAAAACGTCACTTCCGCTACTAAACCTTAGAGCAAACTGAAATTAAAATTCTTTGTTACAAAAGAAAATCAGCTTTCGGTCAGGATTGTAATTACACTGTAACAGATGAAGAAACGGACTACATGGGAAGTTTAAAGTAAAACTAACTCGATTTTGGAAGTTATAAAAAGATTCTTGATTAAGTAGCTTTAATAATTTTAAGTGACATTGACTTAATTTTGTCATTTTTATTTGTACTGTGAAAAAACAGAGTAAAAAGTATTAAACCAAGAATGTTTAACTTATAAAATGTAGTTTTTGTTGCTGAACATTTTTGAAGTGATCAGTTTTAACTATTCTTTTTAAAGTTTAAATAACTCATTACATTCCAGTGCAACGGAAAAGAGGAAATTAATGCTGCAACCATGGCGTCCCTCTACTCCTCCAAAGGGGGATCTGTACCGACTACCGATGTCGGTACTTGTAATTTTTATAATTGCTTGATAACAGATAACAGGGCAGTTTAACAGCTGGGGGCTGATGTCAGGAAACCACTGGACAAAGTAACAGCTGAGTGTTTTGACAATGCTAATAAACATCACATATTTTTATGATAAAAACAACAAATGGTGGCAATGAAGTCTTATTTTTGGGAACAACTGGCTAAGTCCCATGTATGATTTGGACATTCCCGACATTACTCCGTACATTAGTTACTCTCTCGCAGTAAAATAAGTGCCGTGGTTCATCGCCAGTTCTGGAGCCATGAAGGAGAGACAGCTAATGCTAGCAAGAAGCTCTTCTTCATCTTAATACGAGAGGAACGCAGCACTGAGTACGCTTCCACTTTAAAGGTTTTATAGTGTTTTGACAAAAATATTTTTATCCTTTTCTGAAAAAAAAAACCAAAAACCCCAAAACAAAACAACGTGAAGAGTAAAAATGTGAAGAATTGAAATTTCAGTTTGACTTTAAATCAAATGCAGAGCTCGTTTAGCACCTCAGTTTCGCTGTTGCTTGTTTTTCTGGTCCGAGTTCAATTCTGAAAAGCCCGTCGCTGTGCTGCAAAACCAACAACAACAAAAAAAAAAAAGTCCACCTGTATTCGGGGCCCGGGGTCGGCCGGCTGCTCGGTTGGACCTTCCTATTCTAAACCGAGGAGGAGGAGGAGGAGGAGGAACAAAGGGACATTTTGGCTCCTGAGTTCTTTGTGGGTTAGGGTTAGCATAGACATCGATACGAAAATAAAGATTAACATTGTTTGCATCAAACCTGCTGTGCAGCTGGGGTTTTTTTTTTTTGGGGGGGGGGGTAACAAGTAAAATTGGGTCAGAGATCATCGCAGGGTTCCTACACATTGTTTCCAGTTCAAAGAATTCCAGACTTTGTCCAGAAGTGTTTGAATTTTCTTTCCCATTAATTGCCGAATGTAGCTAGGCTGCAGTAAGTACCACGATGTGTGAAGTTCACCTTCCAAAACTCAGTTTCAGAACTTAAGAGCGGTTATGGTTTCCTAAAATCTTACAGACCCGGAAATGGTCGCACAGACGACCGGCGTAGGAACCCTGGAGTCAACAAAACAGGAAACAGAAAAACTTGTACAGACTAGAAACAACCAGCACGCGTCAGGAGTCACTGGTGTCAGTACAAAGCGTTAAAGGATTGGGTTTTTTTTTTTTTTCATTTGATAACTAAATATCTCACTCTATTGATATAATTCCATTTTGTTAAATTCATATATAAACGTTAACATGTACACACGCTCGTCACTGGTAATCGGTGGAATCGGGACCTTTATTATAATGAGTTGGTGGAACTTGCTCTTGCTGGCGCTCAACAAATATACTGTGAATGCAAGTAACAATAATTAATATAATGATAATTAGAATAATAATAATAATAATAATAATAATCATCGTCATCTGCACCATGCCTTGTAAACCTGGAAAAACTAAAAACAAAACAAGAGCCAGGTAACCACCCCTCCCCAGTCCCCCCCCACTTCGCCCATGAAAAACAAAAAAAACGTAAAGATTAAAAACAGGGAACGTTGAGTCGAGACCGTCGATCCTCTCTGGCTTCCTCGAAGTCCCCGAGTCCACATGCGTCACACAAACCTCCGCCGATGTCCTGAAGTGAGTGGAGGGGGAGGGGAGTCGGTGCGGGGGGGGTGGGGGGGGGGGGAGAGGTTGTAGTCCGTTCCTAATGGAGCTTCGTGTGGACCGGAGTTGTTGCACTTGTTGGGAGTTGTTGGACTTTAGGATCCTGTTTTTCAGCGTCAGCCTGCCTCTGTGTTTGCGTGTGTTGGTGTGTGCGTTTGTTTGCCTGGTTTACAGGGACCACGTTAAAGGGTGGTCGGCCATGGCGCTCACTCGTCTTTTTTCTTTTTCTTTTTTGTTGTCGTTGTTTTTTTCCTCCATTTATATTCCTCCGGGGGGGTTTTCGTCAGTCTGTCCGCCCCGGTTTGAGGCCCCCGGGTATGTTCGGGGGCTGGGTGTCTGCAGCGAGTCCACACGGCTCTCCGAGTATTTTTCAAGTGGGCTACTCTTGGCTGGCGTCCCCGCTGTCAGTCAGAATGATGCAGACGCAGCCGCGGCGGGCTGGAGGCGGGGCTTTGCGAGGCCAACCAAGGTGGAGGCCTTAATTTCATATTTACGATGGAGAGGGAGGAGGTGGGCGTGTGTGTGTGTGTGTGTGTTTTATATGTATGCTTTGTGTGTGTGTGTTTGCAATCTAAAGATCTGCCCAGAAACGGCTGCTGACCCTCGGTGGAGGTCGTGCCGATCGGTAAAAGCAGAACAAGAAGCGAGTGTGGTGGTTAACTTTCTACTACTTGTTATCGTGCAGAGGAGCGTCTCCCCAGCTAATATGACTACACTGATGGAGGAAGGTGGAAGGAGCGGTTTCTGGACAGGTCCTCAGAGAGCGTGTGTGTGTGTTTGTGTGTGTGTGCGCGCACAGGGCTAGTGCAGGTAATCGTCCACAGAGGCGAAGGCGCAGGAGCCGCTGCCAGTTCGTGCCATGATGGCGAGGCACTGGGCGGCCTGACCCACGGCCTGGGCCAGGGGGGGCTGCTTGGGCAGGTTGTGAGTCTCTGGAGAGAAAAAGGAGAGAGGAGGAGGAATGTCAGGTGGTTGAAGTTGAACACATTGAATCCAGACAGCGTGGACAGTTAACCTACCTAATATTGCACTGTTGAGAGTGGAGCAGACGGGCTCTCTCTGAATGGCGTCCAGCTGGTAGCCGACTGGGCTGTTCCAGGGGTCCGAGTAGGCCAGCAGGCTGAATGCGTCCTGCAGCAGGAGACACACAGCGACAGATACTGAGCACACCACAGGTTAAGACAGAGCGACGGTGGCTCTAAAGATGCATTAAGTTTACGCAGCATGGATCGGGCGAGCTCAGAGATTCCGGCGTTACCTTGAGCATCTTCTTGTTGGCCGAGTTCTTGCCACACTCGCGGCGGAGGTGTTCGCTCATGCTCTGGAGCTCCCTGCCGAAATGGATCATTCTCTCGATGGCCGCCTGGCTCCCGCCGCACAGCTGCCGCTTGGACTGAGCCGACTCCACCTCTGAGGAGCCACGGCCAGTTTGGCATGCAAAATGGGAATAATCTTTTTAATATAGGTGGAATGCGATGGTACATTTACAGCTCGGGCATTTAGCTGGACAGCAACTAGCCAGCAAGTTCTCAAAAAAGGACATTTTATAGAGAAAGAATAGTAATAATAGTCTTTTTCTGCCTTATCAACCAGGGGTCCACAGTCACTAATACCTCCACACACAGTCTACTCACCCATGTCTGCGTCACAGTCGTCGGGCTCGGTGGTGTGTTTGGAGCTGCCGTTGAGGAAACCGTTGGAGGACGATTCTGTCACTCCGTTGGTGAAGTGGTCAACTTCCATATCCACATCGCTACTGAGGGAAGACGGGAAGAAAAAGGAGAAACAGTCGGTATGTGGGACAGGAATTCCTCCTCAGTGAGTGTCGGCTGGAATATGATCTCATCTGAAACACTTCCCTCTTTTTTACAAATCCTGAGAACAGCTGATAACATTTCTAAAATGACAAACTGTCAACAGTGTGCAATAAACAAGGTTGGTTTCTATGCTGATTTACTTGATGTACCGCTGATTCATCTGATACTGTGTCAGGATAATGCTAATGTCCTGAATCTAATGAACTGGATAATAATTACAGATAAATGATGCACAGCTAGCATCCAGTTGAGCTCTGCTGGACACCTAATTATCTACTCCAGAAGTCGGAGTGATGTGTAGGAGGAGTTAAAACCGGCGTCTGCTGAAGGTCAACAGTGTGTTCTGTCACCTGTAACCACACCCAACAATGATGTCACAGTGTACTGACCAGATTAAACTGGAGGTTCAGCTGCAGTTCAGTCGCTCTTTAATCTGACGCTTTGTTAAAGGCAACGAGGAGCAGCAGTAAATCAACATGAGAACAATGAACGCTTCCTGAATTTACAGTGTTTTTATTCAGCTACGTGGATTCAAGCTTGTTGAGTTGAAGTGGAATCAAGTTCAGGGTTTCTGCAGGTTTTAAACAGGTTTATTTAAAGACCATTATTCATGCAATGACCTATTTTACATCCACACTGGCAAAAAGAATATGAAGGAAAATCAGCATTGGTTCCATGCTGGTTTTGTTTTGTAGTTGCTACAACATGATCAATACAAATTTGCCTGAAAGAAGACTGAAAACCTTCATACAGGTAACGTTACCTTCTTTAAACTAAGACATTAAGAGCTGAGAAATGAAATGCTGTTGGCGTTCTTGCGGTTTCTCTCGGTACCTGGTTAGGGGCTGTTGGCTGCGGCTCCCGTTGAGGCTAATGTCAGACGCTGGGAGGGTGGAGCCAGAGCCCGGGGGGCAGGGCTTGTGACTGTGAGGGGAGGAGCTGTGGCTCTTATTAGACGTCACACCATTACAGCAGTTGCTGTCGAACCCTAAAAAACAACAGGTGAAAGATGGGACATTTATTTAACCATTAACAGATGACCTAATCTTTGAGTCAGCTTAAACTGAACAGGAGGACCGGATGAAGTTTCTGATTCAATGTGATTATTAAATGGTGCTAATGAGTGAATGCGTGCACAGCTGTCGATCCAGATGCTGTTCAGTGTTTCAGGCAATAAAAAGGAAGATGTCAGTGTGTTTGTTAATATGTCGAAGCTGTATGTGATGCAGGACCGACAGCAGGATATAAAACGGTTACCACTACTGGACGTATAGTGGGGCAGTATTTACACTCAGGATGCACTCGAGGCTCGTTCTAAATCACCAGATGTGAATACGCAGAGCACAGCTGGACCGTACCTGGGAGGTAGGGCTGGGAGCTGCTGGCTTTGTGGCTGGGGCTGCTGAAGGGCCGGGGGGAGCCGGGGTAACTGTCCTGAGACTTTGGGCTGCGACCTCCGAGACACCTCACCTCGCTGTCCGTCCCGTTCACCATCTCTATGAACTGTCTCACCCTGAGGAAGGCAGGGGAGGGCGGGGGAAGGAAACAGGAAATAAATACAGACACAATGAAGCAAAGACTGAATGGAAGAGTACACGGAGAGGAAGCAAAGACTAGAAGAGAACAGAGGAGGACAGGAATAAAAACAGATTGAACCACATAAGAAGGTTTGGTCTTACTTGAGCATGAAGAGAAGGTCTGGGTTCCTCTCCAGGAGGTTGGGGTAGAGCTGCTGGGTGGTCTCGATGGCCTCGCCCATTCTACCTGACAACACCAGCTTCTGGATCTCTGCAAACCAACAGCAAGCGCGTTTACAACAGGTGATACTGATGCCATGTTCGTCCCGGCACCAAAACCAGATTGAGATTATGAATTTAAAGTTTTATCTCCTTTATCTAAAATATAAAAAAAAGATTCAACCTATTTGAATGTTAGTTGAAGAACTGAAAACATTCTTCTTCTATGGTGGGATCTATTAACTAAACCACATAAGCAAATACAGCAGTAATATAGCAGGAACTATGTGGGCTTCAATATTTTATCATAGGTTTCTATTTTGGTGATAATTTACACCCACACTTTCTCAAAGCTGTGTGAGTGTGATTGACAGGTGATCGACCTCAGCACCAAAGATGGTACAGGAAGAAAGGAGGAAGCGGTGTCCCAATTTCACAAACTAATTGCGTACAGAATGTACGATACACAAATCTTACTTCTTAATATAAACTCAAAACCCAGCGTAGAATGTGTGTGTGTGTCAGTCTGCAGCTGTGTCCCAAATGCATGCCACACACACACACAGACAGACAGACACACACAGACACAGACACAGACAGATCTGCTGTGAGGTCGGGACTATCCTGTGTAACTTTTCATCTTTAATTGTGCTGATAAAAATCACCATCGTCCCTCTGCTGCTCCAACCACGCAACATTAATTAGTAGTAAACACCATTTCAACAGTAAACGTCCTTCCAGCCTTTTACTTGTGGTGTTCATGCCTTCTTTTACTTCTGTGAACAGCAGACGTGCTTACATATGACTCTGAATATCAGATTTTAAAAAGGAAACTGGTACATTATTTAGAAACCTGTCAACACAGGAGGACTCACTCTGTCGGTTTTTTATGGAGGCCAGCTCCTCGTGCACGGCCTGGTCTGTGGATTTGGCAAAGGCTTCAGCCGTGGCACAATAACTGTGATGAACCAGGTAGGAAGCCACCATCCTGAGGAGACAAGGAATACCAAAACATACAGCAGTGATCAGACACAGCAGCAGGAGAAAGCTTACGGACAGTTAGAGTTAATATATAAGAGCTTCTGTTCATTGGATCAACATTGTTCATTTAGTTGCTGGAGTTTTATCTTTGAACTTATTAACTGGAGTTATCTATATAACTTATACAAGTGTGATCCACCAATGCACACACACTGAGAATGGACTTTAAAGGGAAGGAGGAAACATCTTGTGTGGTGAGCAGGGAAACTTTACATATGAAGAAAATTTAGCATATTTATAGATTCTGACATTTTTACTGAGGTAGAAGGAGTTAAGGACTCTAATGTGGAAAGAAAACACATCAGTTGCCTTGGAACAATAACGTGTGTCTCATTTGTTTATGTCTTAATACATGTCTGAAGGGAATCTTTAAATATCTAGTAGAGACTCGAGCTAAAACACGATCCTTAAAGTACATTTATAATGTTGTTTACTTCCATCCAGACACAAGAAAACTGAAGTGAACATCCAATAAATATGATTTGTTGATTTGGGTCAAACTGGAACAAACCCAAACAATATTGAGCCAAGGTTTTCCTGTAGAGACTAAATTATATCTGTCCTTATTTACAGCCCCATTCCCCGTTCTGATGCCTGGGTAGGACACAGTTTGTTGTGAGTATGTGGTTTTGAGTGTGATCTTGATTAAACCAACTAGATCTGCACTCAGTTCATTTGTTCATTTCGGTTCATCACTACTGAATGAGCTATGGGCTGATGATTGTTTTGTTATTCCCAAGATCAAGCAGGAATTATGAAACTACTTGGGTTTGAGATCTGGAAAACTTTAAAAGCTGTCAGATGTTTACACAGGATGTAAACAAGGAAACAGTTCATTCAGTATTGTATCTGGAGGTAAAGCTCAACGTGTGCAAACTAATTCTCCCTCACTGTACAGGAAAACTGTGTACACAACTCAGGTGCATAGAGAAGGTCAGAGTTGAAGCAGGAAACTGGTTTGTGTTTCACAGTTTGGTTAATAATTGTACTGTAGCCTTTGTTTCCAATCTCTTTGAACGTCTGACTGCTCTTAAGTGTTCCCAAATCTAGTACAATGTAATTATCACAAATACAAATGATGACCAAAACCACAAACATTAGACCAAAGCTCGAGATAACTGTGTAAGATAACTGTTTAATGTGTGTTTGACTCTTGGATAGGCAGATAAAAATGGGAAGTTACCTCTATCAGTACCAAGATGACATGTTCCCACAATGCATTAGTGTTTTTCAAGCCTGAATCCTGTTCACGACCACTCTAACAATCAGCCTCCGCTCCGGCCGACTCGTCATCGTGTTGCTGTTGCTCTACGAAGACATTAAATCTTCCCATCCACCAGTCTGACGTGAGCTTAAAAACTTCCTGTTTCCAATCCCGGGCCGTGAGGCGTCTTTCCTTTCACTCCACCCCACCCTCCACCCCGATCCCCATCAAATGGAGATTAAATCCATTCAGGACAAGTAATCATAGCAACAGAGAGCTAATCCCATCAGGGCATGGCATGAAGAGAAACCGAATCCCACAGCTTTTACTTCTGGATCACGGCTCCGGCGCTCCGATGGGGAAGTGGTCCATCTGGGCCTTGATCCTCGTCATGTCAGCAGTAATTTCCCGTCACCTACAGTATCTAATACTCTAAACGCTCAACTTCAAGCAATACACACAACCAACAAAGCCAAAACTACATAATGAACGATAAACAGCAAATCCAAAACCTTCTGTTACCTCAGACTGATACATTCAATGCACATTCAACGTATGTCACATTACCCTGTATTCACTGTTAATGTCGTCAACAAAAGCTATGACAAAAATATTTGTTGACAACCATTTTTCTCCACAACAAAAACAAGACTAAAACTAAATCAGAAATAACCACTGACAACAAAAATTGTAGCAAAAAGGTAGTGAATACAGTCTTCCTCCACACACTGCATTCTGTGGAAACACACATCTTATCCTCCACTGTGCCCAGTTATCTCTTCTATACAGCTTTATTTAGCTGTTTGACGTGCTGCACTTATAAGAAACATGTAGCATTTCAGTGAAGTTATATCTCTGCCAGTGTTGTTAGCCAACATTACAGCAGCTGGGATCACAACATGCACAACATGCACTCTGACGTCTATTTAAAGAAAAATAAGCCAACGTTAATGTAACGTTATCGAGAGCTGTGGATTAACATTAATGTGCTGCTTAAACAACCACAGTTTGTAATAACTGTTGTATCAGTACAGTGTGTGTGACAGTCTGGTTATAGTTCCACAGTTACGGTATATTTCATCCACAACATACAGCCACAGTGGAGATTCCTTTGCATAGTTTCCCACACGAGCTATTATTGTTATATATTTTAATTCATAGTCATGAATCAGCTTCCACAACAACAAAGCAAAATCAGCAGCGTTTATTCAACGTTAATAATGACCTGCACCCTCTTATTGATAACCTAAGCATCGGTGTGCTCGCAATATTTCACTATAGAAACATCATCACATCAAGCTAATGTACTGCTGCAACACTCAGCAGGCGAGTCAGTACTGTAGGTAACTTTGGGCCAAATATCGTGTTTTTTAATCCGATATCTGCAGTAATTGTGTTAGCTCATATGACCTCCTCATACATGTGGACGTGTGCTTTGAGAGGTTTGTAATAGGCTGTGTGAGCTGATCAGAAGGGCCGAGACTTTTTACCTGACTGACGCAACAATATCGACCGGAAATTATTCCATTTTCACTTTTGTTGTTGGACGATGGAGCCACTAAAGACAGCGGGTTATCAGTTACTGCTATAATATTATATTATTTCACAGTGAACTTACTTTTGGATCATAGACTGCCACTCGCCCTCGCGCTCTCCGATGGGGAAGCGGTCGATCTGGGCCTGGATCTTTGTCCTCCACTCACGCATGTAGTCCTCGATGTCGAACACAAAGGGGTGCTGGCCGAAGTTCGCGTCCACCACCTCCCCTGGAGTCTGAAGGCCCACGGTCGGGTACAAATTAGGCTGCAGCAGAGGGACATTAAAGAGTAAAGAATTAGGATGATAGAGGAATGGGAGTTTGGGAATGTAATCTGGGAAGTGAATCAAAACAGGAAACAATGAGTAGGAAAAACAGGAAAACAGAAAATCTCAGGAAACAAGCTTTTGTGTACAATTACTCCTTAAAACGATTTTATTTGCTGACAAAAGATTTTACTATAAAACTGCAGCAGGCAGACAGGGTTCAAACTCCTGGGACACTTAAGGGCTAGTAAATTAGATCTATATTGCACAGATTGACGACAATACATCCATCAAGTTGATCGATGTACTGGTTTCTTCTTAAGAGGCAATAATGCTGCAGAGATTTCTGACTCTCTGTCTTACTTTCTGGCCATCTACTGCTAAGTGTCAGTGAGATTGAGTCAAAATATGTTGGTAATGAAGGAACATGTCAACAGTGTGACTCATGTTGGTGTGCGATTAGTTTACGGACAACAATGGAGCTCTATGGGACAGAGGAAGAAGATATATCAGACTACGAAGACACAGCACTTGCTCATTGTTGTTGAAATATACAGAATATTAGCAGCTTTATCCTACGAGAGAGTACAGGCACCGTCTGACAAAATCAAAACAAAGCTCGGCTGAACAGCAGACAGGCTCTCGGTAATAACACCACAACAGAACAAAGACCTGGCACCACCAACTGAAAACTTTCAAATCTGGGCGGTGGGACAAGACGAGGACAGTCAGTCAACACCCAAACATCACTGTAAACCCTAACTGACCTTAGAGGCATTACTGGTACAAACGTGTTCTGACAGACACACAGACAGCTCAAACACTGGACAGGAAACTAACAGCAGGGATGTGACGTGTTTAAAAGGTTCCCCCGTGCTACGTTACAGCGGCAGTTGTTGACATGCTGCGTGCCAGTGCCTAAGGGTTAAACACAAGTCAATATGTAGTCCCTGGAAAAACAGCAGTTTGGCTTTTTCCCCGATGACATCTGTGATGACAGGATGAGGGCATAAACAGAAATATGAGGTGAGGACGCTCGTATGGGTACATAGCTCCGCCATCCTACCCGTCTAATTAAAGCCTTGATTTGATCAGAGGAGTGTCAACAGCCGTTCACCTCGATGACTGTGTGAGAGAGGGATTGTGCTTGGATTGATATTCCAGTGTAAAGAGACTGGTTTAAACTGGAGTTAGGGAGTAGGTTCACTATCAGGGAATAAATATAGTTGATTAAAGTCCCCAGAAGAGCAGTAGTACAAAAGGTGTGTGTGTGTGTGTGTGTGTGTGTGTGTGTGTGTGTGTCTCTCTCAGAGTTGCCTTTGTCATGGTCCAATAACCACAAAGGTCAGCTGCGCCGAGGTGACGCACTTCACTGCACAACTCTGGAGGAACATGAATGTCTGGCTCGCAGCCGAGGCTGTTTTGCTGCTCAATGGATTATTGTTGCGGCTAAGTCTCTTATTTTCTTCTCCCACAAAAAAAAAAACAGCCGGCCTCAGATTTCATTTGCTTCCACACAAGAAAGGGAAAAACCCCTTAAAAACAAGCGTCTCCCTCACATGTTGATGCAGTTAATACATTCATGAATCGCATTAGAATTAATGCCCATTGGTGTGGGAGGGGTCCACAGGCGGGAGAGTGACCCTCGCCTGGCGATGAGCCACAACAGCACGAAGCAAAACAAGTGATGTCCTGTTCAGACACACAGAGCGTTTAAAGGTTTCTTTTGTTTGGCCACTCGAGGGCAGCAGAAACAAGCTGCAAACACAATCCTGACATATTATCGTATAATATGATATGATATAGCATATTATTGTTAGCTCACAGGAGCCTAATTAAACTTCCAGCAGACATGGAGCGAACATTGTGATTATTTAGCAAAGTAATCCCAAACTCACTACAGGGTCATCGTATATTTGAAGTAACAAAGTAAAAACAAAATGTACAAAGGGAGGGACAAGATCAGACTATTTCAATATTTACAAACTATAGGTAAACCCTGATCCAGAGACCCTGAGAGAGAGACAGTGTGAAGTGTGAACCTATCATAGCGTCACCCATTGGTTTGTGGAGAACTGTTTAGAAGCCTTGAGTTTGGTGTTTTGGCCGTCGCTGTGAGTTACACAGAGCCGGCGGAGGTTGGTCGTCACATACGATCTCGTATTCCAGACAAACACTACACTACTGACCATCTGTCAGCCACCAGAGGGCGATGAAGACGTTTTGGGGAGCTGTCATGTCGTCCATTTTTATACATGTCGATCTGAATAACTTGCTGAATTTGTTGCTTGCAACTTTTAAGAAATAAAGAGGGTTTGAAAAGTCGCTAAATCTATCAAGAAAGTCATCAAACTGGCAGCAGCGACTCTCTGATGAGCGACCTGCTGAACATGAACTAACATGAAGTATAAATGTAATCATTTAATTCGTATTGATACATTGTTCTACTACCCCAACCTCTATCTTTGTGTCCCAGGGGGTGAATTTTTTAATAAAGACTTAAAGCGCAGACCATGCTGAATGTACCACCTTTCAGCAATGTCATGTAACCTATTAAAACACTTTACAATGTCTTGATTTCAGGTGTCCCATTCTTTCCATCCACAGAAGCGCCAACTCCCTGACCTTTAACATCTGAAGTTCACACGATTTTCAGCCTCCGATCAATTTTACAGAGCGTAAACATTTTGACTATAATGGATATTCTGCAGGAAATCAAACACTTCATTTCTATAAATAGCCTTGTGTGCTACAGTTGTGATTAATCATGGAAACTTCACAGATTAGAGCACAGGAGTGGATAAAATGTGGGTACTTACTGGTAGGTCTGTGAAGGCAATACCTGCAGAGGAAGAGAGAAAGTGTCAGCATGAAGGAGAAGAATGCTTTTAATTTCTACACACACACACACACCAGGAGGCTGAGTGTGCTTACAGGTACTGAGGTAATCTGGTTACAATCATCTTTCTGTAGTAACCTGATTTCTTAAATGTTACGCAATTATCTGGGTCACAAACCTGGTTCACATGGCTCGATTTAACTGGAGAATCTGGTTTATACAGTGTAGAGGAACAAAAGAAAGGATTGTGCCTTGTATTCAAAGTAATTCCATCTAATTTCAGACTAAACTACAATACATAAATACGCCAGTTTGTGCCGTTGAACAGTCGATCATTTGTAAGTATAAACTGGACTTTCTCACTGGAACTTCAGCTGAAGTCAGTATGGTTGGGAGAGGAAATGTGATGACTGACCAGCTTCATGTAAATGTGGGCTAACCAGTAGCCAGGTTACTACAGTGCATGTAAACAAAGCCTCAGATTTCCTCTGACAACTTTATTCCTCCAGACAACCTGGTATCTTGTGAGCGCGAGGGTCCCTTGATGCTTCTTTGTCTGGAATTTACGCTTTGTTGCCTTTTGGAGGCACCCTGAAAAGCACTACATATATTTTAAGTCCAACTGAAATCACATTGGCATCCCTTTTTGCACTCAAAAGTAATGTCAAAATATTGTGAAGGTCTTTGGGGAAATGCTGCTTTTGGTTTTGGAAGAGTGAGTGTTTTATTGACAGCAGCCTCCAGGCTGAGTGTCGGCGGGGAGCGAGAGAAAAAGTAAACAAACTTGCAGGGAAGCTATAAGCCATTGGCACACAGTGTGTCAGTGGTCCTGAGGAGTAAAGGAGCACAGCAGCATCTCAAACAGACCACAGTGATGTTTGCAGGTAAGTTTACATGCTGTTTAACGTCCTGCAGCTAAGCAGCTAATTAGCCGACTAGCCTGCAAACAGACGCTTGCTATGCACTCTTCCCCTGGTCAATGTTTGTTTGTTTGCTCAACAAGCTACGGTACAGCACGAGATGTGTGTTCATGTTGGTTGTTTATGTTAGATAAGGAGGAGATTTTAGCCCAAAGCTAATGTGGGTTGTTGTTCAGAGTCTGTGGCTCTCGTGTTGTGTAGCCGGCTGCTGATTGGCTCAGTGTGTCCGCTCTGCCTACGATACAATAACGCTGACGATACTGCTTTATGCCAGATTTGATTGGCTGTACTAATGGATTTTTCCAACGCATCAGCACAAAAGACAGGGCACCATCAAAACATATAGAAAATCTTAATTTCTCAAAAGAAGAACACAAGTGATTTATATCTGCTGTAGCAGACAATTAATAAAGTTCTACTTCAGTAGGACAGTAAAAGTTATTTAAATAAGTTACGCTGCCCTCTAATGCACCCGTCACACACTTGTTCATTCAAGTGTTCAATACTAATTAAGGCTGCAACAATTATTTTCATTCATTGATTCATTGGTCAATCGTTTTCTCAATTAATCCATTAGTTGTTTGGTCCAAATAATGTCGGAAAAATGTGTCCACAGCCCAAAGATTAATGTTACTGTCCTTGACTGAAGAAACCAGACAATATTCACATTTGAGAAGCTGACATCAAATCAGTGAAATCGAGACAGACGACCACCCACCTAGAGCCGGAGGATCTGTCCTAGGTTTCTGTCTTTTAACAGGCAGTTTTTCCTTGCCCTTGTCGCCAAGTGCTTGCTCATGGTGGTACTGTTGGGTCTCTGTAAATAATGTTATAAGGAGTTCGATCTAGACCTGCTCTATTTGAGAAGTGTCCTGAGATAACTTCTGTTATGAATTGGCGCTATACAAATAAAATTGAATTGAAATGTTTCTTAAAAAATATATATGTTTTTTTAATCGATAATTTGTGAAATAGTTTTGAAAAGGAAATTATAATGTGTAATACATGTTAGATTTTAGATAATTGATAAACATAAAACGGAGGAGTATATGTGAATTTGTTTTGCAGGGACTTTTGTGTATAATGTATAAAAGTGCATATATATTTTATATTGTATAATCTGATTTGTGTTGACAAATTGAAATGACCAAAATAAACAAACATTTTTTTTATTAATAAGTTGACAACCATTCGATTAATTGACTAATTGCTGCAGCTATACAATACAAATACACTACTGCTGCTTACTGACAACCCCTTTGCACAGGTGGGTTAACACACAGGCCCGTACAATAGAATACGCTCTGCTCTCTGAGATCCTTACCTAGGCTGTGGCCATTCTTTGTGTAGAAGCAGGTATTGTTGATGAGGTTAACGCAGCAGCCGATCACGTCGCCCGTCGTAAACGTGGGTCCGTAGGGTTGCCCGGTGCCGGAGGAGCAGAAGGAGTGGCCGTCGTCTCCGTGGTAACCGTATGAGTGCTTGTCCCAACCTGAGGGATGTGGAAGTGTAAGAATAAGAGCGCTGTGCAGGCAAGTGAAGAGGTGTAATAACACAACAGATGGTTCATTCTTCTTAGACACAGACACACACACACACACACACACACACACACACACACACACACACACACACACACACACACACACACACACACACACACACACACACACACACACACACACACACACACACACACACACACACACACACACCACACACACACACACACACACACACACACAGGCTAGAGAGCAACATGGACACAAGCGGTCCCTTGCAAACATGAATGGAGTGGAAACATACTGGAATTGATGACACAAGAGCAAAATCTATTAACTTTTTCCATCTAGTGTTTACAAAACTCCTGACGTTTGTGACGAATAACACTGACCAAAGAATTCCAAAGAGCCAGACTCCCAAAGGAGGACTTTACTGCTGTAACCGAGCCCTCTGCAAACTAATTCACATGCAGTGTGAATGTGTGAATCAACAAAATAAGGCTGAAGAAGAGTTTCAACTAACCTTCCCTGTCTCCTCAGGAAGACTGTCAACAACAAGAGCCGGACTATAGAAAGAGGTCAACAAAAACACCTAATGTGTCGTCATGCTTATGATTTCACTGTAATACAAGTGAGTGAACTCCTGTTTGAACCATATTTTGGGGGGAGGGGGAAACATTGAAACAGTACCAAACAAACTTGGAAACGTAGCCAGGCCAAAAATAGAATTGCTTTGTCATTATTCCAAAGCTCCAGTAAATACTGGTTCAATGATGGAGACCTGCAACAAGGAGCTGTCACTCATGAGGGCTGGAGAGCATGACCTGCAGGGGTTCAATGCTTTGCTCAGGGAACACATGACTGACTGCTGATGGACACTATGAGGAGTTAAACCTAGGAACTCAGACTTTAAGTCACTGGGATAGCTTGTTGTTTTCACTGTGACTGCGGAATGATACGACTCAGAAGAGGCTCTCTGAATTTGGAGATTATTTGCATTTTGGGCCCTAATTCCCATCTTTACTACATATTAACCTGAGTAAATATCACTTGTTGGGAGCATAATAATAGGAAAATGCACAGTTGAACAAAGCTATGTATCTGAAAAGAGTCCTACCTTTGTCTTTGATACTTTCCTTAATACTTTGGGAGTTGTAAAAGCTCAAACATACTAGGTATGTAACATTTCAGGAGAACTAAACACACAAGCAGTTTCATGTGTTTGTGTTGGGAGTATCTGAGAGAGGGGAGGAAGAAACGGCCTCTGCGGGGCTGTTTAACGTTACAAACCAAGTGGATCCTGTGAGTTGCTGCCGAGCTGCAGAGGTAATCCTGCCATCGCCACATTCATCACTGGAAGAGAGCTCTCAACTCTGAAGCAGTTTGGCATCAGTCCCTCACAATTAGCGAATTTTCATTAGCATCTATCCATCAGCGGGGACTCTGCAGCTTGCTCTGGGCCTCCTGTTATCTCTGTACGAAGAGACTGGAGCTCCTGGGCGGGTCTAGTTCTCAGACCAATGAAGGCTCCTGTTTGGCCTGATAACCCCTGTAGAGCGCAGAGCTCCACATCTACCACCACCGTCTTAGTGGTACCCGGTCATGGTAGCTGCGTTTCCACTGCATGGTACGGTCCGACTCAACCTCCTCCTCTCTGGGTTTTCCATTATAAAAGGTTGTGGATAGTTACTAAACGGGGAAGTGAAAGACACTGCAGACCACTGATTGGTCAGAGAATCGTCCCTTCGATAGGCTCCACCCCTTCCTGTGTTTGGGTCGCGTTGAAGATGACGGCAGTTTCATGTTGCGTCACTATGGTGATCAGCTATCAGTTTCAACCGTGCACATTGTCTGTCTTTTGTTGCTAATATATATTTTTATTACCATATACCATATTTAATGAATGTACTAACAATATGTCTCTGAAAGTATATGGATGCATCTGTGTCCATGTTAAACTATCATAATCTTGCTGGATTTTTGAGGCCAATAACTACTTTAATATTGAAGAGTTTAAAAAAAGTAAGAACTAATATATTGTTATCAGTAACTTCAGAGTCAGGACTGCGCCTGGGTAGCCGTTTCCCCGTTTCCTGTCTTTGTGCTAAGGTAGCCAGCTGCTGGCAGTAGCTTCATATTTACCCGACAGACACAAGCAGCATTAACCTTTCATCTAGCTCGCAGCAAGAAAGCCAATTAATAGATTTCTCAAAATGTCAAAAACCTTTTCCTTCGACGTATTGTTTTTAGGGATGCCCCCGACTAAAGACTGGGATAGTTACAAACTCACTCCTCGTGCAGTCAGGCCTCTCCTGTCACTCTCCTGTTCAGAGCTGCTGTAAATCAACTGGTGTCTAAGGCTGTGAACCAGCGCCGTTGCCTGCTCGCCCGGCTCCAGTTCTTGTGCTCATTGTCCTATTCTAGCTCCCAGTCTGGGTAGACTCAGCTAATAGCTTATGGCATCTAGTACAATTGACATGTGCAGCAGCGATGTGTTACAAGAGAAAAGGTGGCGCCTCAAACCTATTGTTGCCATTTCAGTACTTCAGTTTCTTGTTATTTAACCAATATTTACACAGATAGATTTAACTCTGATTCGCCCATATAAGCAAAGACTATCTGCCTCCAATTGAAACCCACAGCATATGTTTATTAGGATAAATATGACATCCTCATCCAAACCTGTTTGTTGCCTTTAACAGTCCACGCAATCAGCTTATACTACAATCAATAACAGGCAGCCAATAGCCATTGCAGACTCTGTGCTCAGGGTACACCTCAAAGCACACTCCACTGATATTGTGTTGCATTAAATCAACTAGCTTCCATACACTCCACATCTCAATGTGTCACCTGGACTTCTGTACCCAATACATACTAACGAGCCGAGCTGCTTCACTCCTATAAAGCTCAAAAATATACCTACAAACATTGCTCAATTCCTAAAAGTGTAGTAGGCTATAACCTTTTCCCTCAGGTGAATGGATCAGGAATCATTGATCTGCATCAGAACTGTACAATACATATCAAGAGTCTTGAATCCATAGTAAGGATTTTTGTTTTAGTGTAACAATACCACCTTCACAGTAATGTGTCCATTCTCTCCATGCTTAACACAAACCTGCACATCAGCCTCTCCAACAATAAGAAAACATGCATATGCAGTCAGGTAACGGAGAGATAATGGTGCATCCGAGGCCAAACTCTACCTGAGAATAAGTTCACAGACAAAATGAAAGCCCCACAAACGTAGTTAAAAAGATCTCCGGTGTGATCTACAGCAGACACACAGACAGACAAACTCCTCTCACCACACCCAAAAACAGGGACACGAAACAAACACATAGAAAGTGTCATCTTACCGGGGAGTCTGTTCATGTTTACACCCTGAGCGGAGAGGCCGATGCCCATGTACCTGTGGAACAGACAGTTGAGGTTATTTGGACAATATTTTAAATAAAAACAGCCACCAATCACACCCTGCTGGTAAACACCCTAAACATCTCAACATCACATTGGATGCTATTCTTACATCCTCATCACTAGTGGTGCTAACAGTTAAAGTGCTAAGATTTATCATGTAATATTTCAGATGCTAAAGTTAGCATATGAAATCGATACTGGGTAAACTTCTAACATATCTGTCTGTCTCAGCTCTGGTAGTTACCAGCTACGTTCCTCTGAGTGGTTGCTTTGTAAAGGTTTTGACAGATCTAGAGAAAAGTATCTTACTATGTACCTCAGGCGTGGAATAATCTGCAGGAACATCTCAAATTAGACAGTTATATCCACTGACGAAGTTAAGTGCATCATGAAGAATGCACAAGCAGCCAATGTGTTTGAATAGTCTGTTTTATTGTGGATTGTTTTGTATATCATTATACATAATACATATTAATATGTTAGCATTAAGCATGGCCCCAGACCGTAAGGTGCACAAGACAGTAGGCTCGTTCAAATCAATCACCGGCGATTGCCGCATAATTCATGCCGGTTAGATTTGTGTCTGACTTGATGCTAAATTGCTCAGACATCGAGCACACGTGGGCAACGATAACCTCACGAGATGGAGGCGGACACAGATTGTAGAGCCAGGCGCCGTATTTGCTCTCCACCGACTGCAAGAACCAGGGAGTTTTTTTGCTGTGTGGTTTGGATATTTAACTCTAGACTGTAGCAGTTTAATGTCTCATGTTGTGCAATGAAGGTTTAATCTGTTAAATATATCAAAGTTTATTGATATATCAGAACAGGGTCTAAAAACTACAGGCAGCCTACAGATGATCTAACAGGATGTAAACATTTCTGTGACTTCCTGTATATTCTTTGAAGCCTGCTGGAAACTGACTTACAGCTCTTCCACTTTACAGGCGAGCTGCAGTTCATCTCTAATGAGCTAATGAAGAATTCTGCTTCGCTGCCATGTTTTGTGTATTTCCAGGTAAAAAACTGTGGACATCTCGATGCTCCCCACAATATTTTGTCTGTACGGTCTCCTCAGACAATGCACCAACTGTAGCTGGCTTTCATCTGTGGAGGGCCTGAGCCATGGTGTCTATCTCAAGCATAGCAAAGCTTTAAGCTCCACGTACAGGTGAGTGTGACAGGAACTCAGTCATAGGTCTTATAAGTGACAATGAGACTAATGAGCTGTACTTCTTCTGTGTATTCTTTCTCATCACTAACAAGCTGCTAGTGTGGCTGGAAGAAGTTTTTGCAGACACGACACATGACAGAATCCAATAAAATGTGGAGAATCTTTTTAGACAATCAAAGTAGTCAAGACATCTTGGGTGAAGGAGGGTCGAGTGTTCAAGTGACTTGTGGCTGTTCCGCTGTAAAATGAGGCCCTTTAGATGAACTGAAGTCTCAGTTTAGGATTATGAATTGCCCTCTGGCCCTGTGAAGATTTTAATGATGGTTTCACTTTATTAGATTTTTCTGTGTTATGCAGATTCCTGATGTGAATTTCTCAAAAAAACTAATTTGGTATACAGGACATGTATTGAATGAACTCAACCAACGACTCAATGACTTACAGTTTGAGGTCCCTGCAGAGTAACATTACATCAGCATTCATATGGGAGTGTTACCCCAATGTAACTGTGGCCAATAGCCAGCCTGCATTCAGATTAGATATTGATAACATCATAATGTGGCAGCCTGCTCAAAGACAGTTTATAAGAATCTCAGGTATGATGAGAAGCTGCAATCTCCTGTGAGCCACCATCTTTTCTTTCCTCCAGGAGGACTTCTGAATTAAAACCAAAAAAAATAAGTAAATCAGGAGAACCTGTTTTTAGCTCTACCTCTCAGCTTAATTAACAGGAGCAAATTTATAACAACTATTAAACCACAATATACAGATGTGTTTTATATTAAGTGGATTTGGTTAAAAGGCTTATGTAACTTTGTCTTTAAACAACAAGCAGCTACAGTGTCAGTGAGTCACACTGCTTCAGGGTTACAGTCAGTGTAAATCCAGATTAGACTAGTGGATTGTTTGAAGTTTTTATTATTACCAAGTTAACCTTCTCTCTCTCCAAACTCTTATGTGTGAAAAATGCTATATCATGCCACACACACACGAGCATCTTATTAGTTATTGTTAACCATTAATAGGATCAGCTTGAGGCTAAAGAAGAAGAAAACTGTATAGAAGTTGTCCCTCCATTTTCATGCATCCCATTTTGTTTTCTGCCGTGTTAAAAACATCACAGGGTTGTTAGCGTGTCTGTAGATTCGGCTCAGTGTTCATTAGTGTAGTCTAATGAGCTAAGTGCTAACTCCCTTACAGTTGCATGTTAAAAAAGCCTCTCAATCATCACTTATAACCAACTGGAGGTTTGTGGTGGTGTCTGTCACTGCGTTCTTATTTTGGACGAGTTCTGGGTTGTTTTTGGGGCGTGTAGCGTTGTAAATCAAACGCTGTGGTCTTTGTCCCGCGTTCTTACCCATCTCGGCCTTTGCTGATGATCTTCACCTCGAAGTAGTAGACCCCGCAGGCTGCTGGGATGGGGTGGGTGGCCCGTACAGACGCTGCATCTTTGGGGGTTTTTCCATGACCTTCAAGAGAGGGAAAAAAAACACAGACACAAGAGAGCGTCATTACAGCTGAATAAGTGGATCAATCTACAGTCATAAAAAGGGACAGAGATACTGAAGACAGACAGCAGCGTAGGCTGATGAATTCTGATTTGTCTTTTATCATCCATTTTGATTCACTTGAATTCAAAGCACAGCCCAGGACTGTGCGCAGACTTTTAGTATGAGGGGCTGTGGAGGGGATTAAACCCACAACCCCTCACAGATCAAATAAGAAGCAGAGGGCTCCCACTCAACGTCCTGTGTTGTCAACTATTAAATTAAGCCCCAACTATTCTGATAATTCATTGTCCTGAGTCATTTATTTAATAAGAATGTCCAAATGTCCACAATCTCATCTGGTTTCTTTAGTCCTCTATAACAGTTAACTGAATATCTGCAGGTTGTGGACAAAACAAGACATTTGAGGACATCACCTTGGTCTCATGTTTATTTCCAACTAATGAATGAACAGAGAAAATGATTGACAGATAATGAAAAGAATCATTAGTTGCAGCTCTGAACTGGATGAGATCAGGGATCCTATACCTTACACAAATAAACTAAAAACACATACTGCAGTGTAAAAGAGGAAAACAGCCTGCAGACGAATGAGGCCACTGTCCCAATATTTCCTCAGGTAAATTTATATAAGCCGTACTTTGTGTGTAACAGTTATATAATTCATGTCTCATTTATACATAAAACAAGGTGTTGAGGTGGAATATAATGTGGGGAGGGGCTTGATTTATAAAAAAAGTGATCCCAAACATATGAGGATAATACACACACAGACTTCTGAATACTCCTGAGCACAAGATGTGTCAGCAGTTCTAAGATTATCACCTTAAATGCTCCGAACCTGCACCTCCTGGGTTCAGTGTGTAAAGTCAACGGCTAAACAAATGTTTACAATGTCAGGTGTTACTAAGCAGCAGTTTGTGGTTATTATAATAAGTGGAGTTATTAATAAAGTTCTGGTTATCTATCTAAATGTGACCTATATCAGCTCTTTCTGCAGAAAACAAGCTGTTTACTTGGAAGTTAAAGATGGTTTGGGAAAGGAGAACTCAACAATAAGCAACTGCATCATTTTATCAGCTTGTTTACATCTAGAAACCAGATACGTTTGTGATTATGTTAGATACAAACAAGTGTTTGTTTTTCGACGATGCAGACTACATTATGTTCCTGGAGTTTAAGTTACATGAAATAATCTCAGTTGAAATGTTCAACAATCAGATAACACACTCAGAGGGTTGAGGTTTAAATGATAGCTGCTTTAACAATCAGCGTTAAGGCCCTGATCGTCTCACCGGGAGTCGGTTCCAAGAAGCAGGTTTAATTAGTGATCTCTGGATGACATTGCTTAGGCACACCGAGGACAAACCAACTGATGCAGACAGAATAAAATAAAACTTTTCACCTCCATTTTACATCTGTTCTTGGGACAAAATGGTTGCCAGATGAAAACACCATTCAGGGGAGGAAGGAGGAAGAATGTCACCAACAGAACTGTATTGAAAACTGAGGTTTCTGTGTCAATATTTAAATATTTTTGGATCTAGAAAATGTCTAACTAATGCCCTCCATGAACCCAGAGTCTGAGGTAACCTCTTAAAACCTCTTATGTCCAGTGAACAGCCCAAAACCTAAACACCTACCACTCACAAAGAAAGCAGCAAAACCTCATTTCTGAGAAGCTGGAACAGCGAATGTTTAACTTAAAACCTAAAAGTGCTTCAGATTAATCTTGTGTCGACTTACTGAGCCTATTCAAAACTCAGATTTATTGTTTTATTTAGACTTTGCATCCATTCATAAATACTGTTGGTATAATGCTGTGTAATCTCATATTTACTTAATAATGCTTATTCATCCTTTCTGCCACACAGTTTCCACCCACTGTAGTGTGTGAGGCTTTAGTTGTTCTCAGGTAGTACAGCGATTATTGTAAACAAATGACCCAGAATGCACCATTGATGTGGTTCTCGGGATTCAATTACATTTATTTTAAACACTGATAACGTTCTCAATCTTTAATTAATTGTCTGGTTCATAAAATGGCAAACTGACACATTCCAGTGACTTGTTTTGTCCAATTAACACTCTTAAAAGTCAAATTATTCAGTTTATTATTATTATTATTATTATTATTATTATTATTATTATAGTAGTAGAAGACTGGGAAAACCTGAACATATTTACCTTTAATTAACTGCCACTGACATGAGACATGATTAATTGATTATTAAAATAATGCAGATTAAATTCATTTAAGCTTGAATCGTTATGATTGTATTATTACATTTTAGCAGTATTTGTACACAACTCCCATTTAGTTTCAGTGAAAATAACTAATGGGGGATCTTGTGAAGCAGGTAAATAACAAGGACATTTAATGGATTGATAATTATAGATACTGTATATTTCACAAGATGTAAACACCACCCAGTTAATGACAGAGGCTGCAGTGGACAGTGGGGATGAAAGGTGGAGACTCTGGAGGGTGTTTCAGGTTAAAGTTTACACTGTTTTAAAATAATTAAAGTTACATCTTCATACCTGCTACACGGGGGATAAACAGAGTGAGAGTAAAAGGCCGGGCAGACCCAGAATAGACACACAAACACACCCAGGAAGCTCAGTTGTTTAGCCTTCTCTTTTAGGCCTGCAGCAAAAAAAAAAAAAACCCTTGCTAAGCACCCTGAATGTCCCTGGATATTAAAACCTGAGCAGCAGATAAGGAACCTACCAATGCCTGCCCTGTCATCGATAACCACTGGAAACCTATCAGCTCCTCTGGAGGACATTAATCTGCCTTTTAATAACCTAATAACGTTTACAATGTGTGCCTCACATCGACACATCTACTTTATCTCCAGTTACAGGTTTTAATCTCTTACATAGACATTTAAACGATACACAGCACAGACACACTGACACAGCACAGACACACTGACAGACTGGTTGACAGGTTAGCAGTAAGGTGTGTGAGTGTGTGTGGGGGGGGTATTTATACCTCGCCAGCTGGTCGGGTTGCAAGATGTCCTCTGCCTTGTTGTTGGTGCTGAAGCTACTAGCCTACTTTGTTTTTAGCCCACGACGGGCAGCTGGCTCTGCTCCTGCTAAGCTAAGCTAAGCTAAGCTAAGAGTTAAAATAAAAAAAAAAATAAAAAAAAAGTGTCGTTACCTTTATAGTGCACACGGAGGTTGTTCTGAGAGAGCCCGATGTAGCTGAACTTGTCCTTCGGGCTCCAGGAGCGGGGCAGCGGGGTCTCGCTCTCGTTGACGGCGGGGTAGAGCCGTCGCAGCCGCTGGTTCAGCTCCTTCTCCTGCTCGTTCAGCGCCGAGTCTCCGTGGACCACCACCGACATCAGGAACCCGCAGCCCGACGACTGTCCGGACATGGCGGACACACGGGTTCTTTTCTTTTTCTTTTTTTTTTTTAGCTTGTCAGCAACAAGCCGGCGCCACTTGTGTCAAGTTTTTTTAAAAAAAGGGGAGAGGTTTTCTTTTTTCCTTTAGCTAGGCTAGGCTAGGCTAGGCTAGGCTAGGCTAGGCTAGGCTAGGCTAACAGGCTAACTGTTCGCGGATGGGCAGCCGGAGCTAGTTAGCTTCAGGAAGCTAACCTGGCTAAACGCGCTTTTAGCTTTTAGCTTGGCCAGCGAAGGCAAAGCGACGGCTGAGACGGCTCAGGTTGACATTAGCTGACACACCGCCACAGATGGAGACAGTAGAAGAAGGCTGTCTGTCGCGCAGGGTCAGTGGAGAGTGATTGGAGAGGTCGTTGTGGGGCGCACAGTGTCGCTGCGGCCGTTAACGGCTCCACGGATCCGGTTTAATGAGCTCAGCTAGCTCGATCTTTTGTTTGTTGTCGGAGCGAGATCCGCTCTTCTGATTGGCTGAGAGCGGCCCCACTCACTTCCTATGGGAATGTGACAGAAACACAGCAGATACACGGTGCTGGGTTAGAGCGGGACCGGGACCGGGACCGGGACCAGACGGACCAGAACCAGGACCAGGGCCAGGACCAGAACCAGAACCAGAACCAGGAGCAGAACCAGGACTAGAATCAGGACCAGGACCAGGAGCAGAACCAGAACCAGGACCAGGAGCAGAAGCAGGACTAGAATCAGGACCAGGACCAGGAGCAGACCAGAACCAGGACCAGAACCAGAACCAGGAGCAGAAGCAGGACTAGAATCAGGACCAGGACCAGGAGCAGAACCAGAACCAGGACCAGGACCAGAACCAGAACCAGGAGCAGAACCAGGACTAGAATCAGGACCAGGACCAGGAGCAGAACCAGAATCAGGACCAGGACCAGGAGCAGAACCAGGACCAGAATCGGGACCAGGAGCAGGACCAGAACCAGGAGCAGGAGCAGAACCAGGACCAGAATCAGGACCAGGACCAGGAGGAGGACCAGAACCAGGACTCACTCAGCAGGGGGTTTAAAGGGGAGCAGGAATACATTATAACACACAGCCAGTGAGTCATCATCAGCATCATCAGTATTCTGCCCTCATCACCCACTGTTATTATTAATATTATATTATTATTATTATTATTATATTATTATTATTATTAGAATTATATTATTATTATTATTAGAATTATATTATTATTATTATTAGAATTAGTATTATTATATTATTATTATTATTATATTATTATTATTATTAGAATTATTATTATTATTATTATTATTATTATTATTATTATTATTAGAATTAGTATTATTATTATAAATATTATAATCATATAATATGTGTTATTCTAATACACCTCTTAACTCTTAAAATATCTCAAATTATATCAGTTCTATGTGTCATTACATTTAGTTCTATTTTCCTTTTTATCTATTTATCTTTTGCACTTTATTTGTATATAGTGTATACATTGTTATTATATTTTTATTTTATTATATTTATCTATCAGTTTCTGGGCAAACAACATGTAGTTTTTTGTGTATAAACATTGAAATATTATTGCATACTGGGGTCCATAAACAGTGTTGGAAGTGCATAAATTGGGAAAGACTGGAAGTCAGAAAGGCCCCAGTGTGTAGGATGGCAGCCTCCGTAGAAGTAAATAAAAACGTCTAATTATAAAGTAACAAAAACCCAGTGATTCTTACTTTCAGGTGATTATAAACTAATGAAAACATGTGAATCTATGGATCTTTAACTCAGCTGTTTATGGCCATTCACATGATGCTGTCGGTAGTTTTTAAAGGAACAGAAAGTAGTTCCCCTGAATCCTGTTCACAGTGAGGTCATTGAGGTGAATCATAATATAGCGTACAATAAAAAGAGAACCTGATGTTCACTTTATTTACTGTGTACTCTTAAGCATGGTTAAAACCTCTTCCAGGTTACAAGACCAGATTAACTTGATGCCCTTTATAACATTGTCAAAGTCACGATGGACAGTTAAAAGTGTTGAAATCAATGCAGAAGACGTAATATTATACCTTTTTACATCATAACGAGGAAACATTTGTGATCCTGAACACACTGCAAAATGTACAATGATGATGTTTCATTAGGTTTGTCTACAACACCTTTAAGGCCTTTATCTTATCTCAGTTAACATTGTGCTGTAGAGCATATTACCATACAGATTTACAACTGATCAAATTACCCAGAACTAATTAACACACACTGAATTTAGGCCTTTGGGGCCCCTGAGGATATCGGGCAGTGATACTCAACTTAAGGCCAGAACCGTACTCTTATTTTCTAATTCACAATAAAAATAAATAGATCATCAGCAAAGGGGCCTAATAAATGTCTGGCCACCCCAGTTTGTTGTCAAATTCTGTCAAATTTAATTTAATCTCAAGATTAAATGACAGACTTAAGTTAAATGAAAAAAGACAAATGTCTGAAGATTTGGGGAAAAAATGCCACCTTCAGATATTTGTATTCAGTGCTTTACTAATGTGCCACAGTAATGCTTTTGAGTTCAAATATCTTCATTCTGGGGCTTTTTCAAGCAAATGATATATGTGATTGTTTGTGATTAAATCAGCAGATATTTCTGCGACTCCTTAAAGTCTCCACGCCAACACTCTGGACCCCCCATGAATATTTCTCTACATCCGCCCCCTGTATCAGCAATCATACTCCTGGTCGTCAAATGTTGAAAGACTGAGAATGAGAAGAGACGACTCAGTGCTAATATTCATTCATCGTATTTATTCATTGTATCTGATAGGGATGCTCGTTCATAAGTAGTTTATATAAGAAAGTCTGAGATGTAGTGAGCAAAGATGGTTGATTAAATATTCGATAGATCTGATCTAATCCAATCGAACTGTTTGTTAACACAAAAGTTAATTTAGTTTTTTCTTGTAAAGTTTATCAAAACACATCACAAACATATAAGAGTTCAATGGACCGATCATTTATCGACTGTAATCTAATTATTCCAATAATTCATAATAGTATAAAATTCCTGTTATCGGCTGAGAATGTATCTGCCCGATAATTATTCTGCATCCCCAGTAACAAATATTATTAATGTTAGTTTATTAACTGGCCCCTGACCTCCTGTCATTGTTTAAAAGTGGCCCCTGGCTAAAGCAAGGTGGGTGTCCCTGCATGGTCTAAGGCCTTTATGGCCTGGTATTTAATCCCGTCATGCTCATTAAGTAACACCTGGCCAAAACATACTGCAACAACAAATAATTTAACAAATGAATTTATTGTAAATAACTGGCAGTGAATGAACTCAAATAGAAGCAGACTTTAAACCAGCACGTTTCTTCATGTTGTTTTTGTTTCCAGTTGCTCTGATCCGGGTTACGAGGTAGACTACAGGCTGAAGGGAGGTTTGTTTCTCTTCCCTTCGGCTTGCACAGCCTGTGAAAGTCCCTCACACCAACATGTGGGAATGTTCATTGCATCACTAAAAAGGAATCTGAAATGATGTTACGCTCCCTGTAGGGAAGCACTTGCTCAGATTCATGTCCAGAGTCCCCTGGAAAACACAAATGGTTGAAGGCCTGGACTGTTTATCATCAGCAAGACGTGTGTTGCAGAAGGGGAAAGAGGACAAACTGTTCTGGGAACAGATCCTCGATGTTGTTTTATATCCTGCTTTCACGACTGGTTGGGTGGAGTTTATCAGCATCATCACAGTGATGGAAGAAATACTTTAAAAACATGATGCAAAATATACAACTTAATATCACTGCAGTAGAAGTAAAAGTCCTGGATTCAAACCCAGTAACCAGTGGTGGAAAGTGCATTTACTGTAGTTCTGTACTTAAAGCTGCAGTCAGTGGTTCATTGTATCCTGACAGTAGTGCACGAGACAGATCATCTGTGAAACAATCAGGTTTTCTCAAATACAGATACTGGAAATGAGGCTCAACAATCCGCTATCTTTAAGCCTTCAACCCAAAGCGTCTTTATATCTGTCTCGGCTCTGATTGGTTACTTTCGTTCGGGCCCAGTGGATTCTTGCAGATGTCATTAGGAGCACTAGGAGGAGCCAGAGGAACCTAAAAGTTGTTTCTATAAAAGTTACCTACTGCAGCTGTAAGTCTGTAGTGGTCATTGTTTGGTTTTTGCTCTCCTGTAAAGTTGGTCAAATGTCACTTACCTTTTCTTTTGGTGATTGTTGTTTCACAGCAGCAATGTTTATTGGGCATTTTTTTGCAAACAAATTGTTGGAGAAAGTGAAAATTGCAAAACAAAGTTGCACTTTTCTGCCTATTATTCACAACCGGTTCCAGTGGTGGTGTTTTGTTTCTATGCACAATCCATGCCCAACACATCACACATCCCTGCCACCAGCTGTATGCTGATCAACAGTTGTTTGTGGTAACCTAAAAAAAAAACGATGTAAATATTAAGATTTAAAAAATATATAACTGCTGTTTGTTTATAAGAAAACTCCACAGTTACACCTGCATTATTATGTAATCTTGATGTACAACAGCCTGTTTTAAAGCCTTTATTATTTCAGTTTAAATTGTACTTACATGTGCACATTCCTACAGTAATTTGTGCTTAATTGAGTTTCCACAATGTGCTTACTAATTACAAACTAACACATGCACAATGCACAGACAGTGGGGGGAAAGGGGGGGGTCATTAAAGGGTTTTTCTGGCGCTGACTTCTGCAGTTCAGACAGTATAAAGTAAAAACTGCATGACCGTTTCATTTGACTTTCAAATCCTTTGTGTAAACAGTCCTGCAGCCTTTGTATCATCCTTTGACTCAGTTTCAGTTTTGTAATTTGGAGTTTTATTTGACAAAGAGAGTCTGGTGAAGGGTCATCAGTCATTCTGTGTCATCAGACCTCCTCCAGTCATTTAATACAAACAGACAAACTGAATGAAGAGGCTGGATATTGACTGTCAGTGCAGGATGTCCCATAAGGAAAGGGGGAGGGGAGGAAAGAGCTGTCACAGCACCCTCTGGTGGTTCAGGCTCGACCTCACCACAGAGAGCGAGATAGGAGTGATAATACTGTGCAGTGCTCAATCTGCCTTCATTAATGCACTTAAGCAAGCTACAGCTATTTTCTCTCATCTTCATTTTCATTCAATAATAAAATAATTATACATAAAAGCTTCACAGTAGATAAAAAATATAAATTGATAATCAGTGTTTTGCATTTTCTTTCTTCTATTTCTCCCCTTTTTTCCCTGGAACATCCGATAGGAGTCAACAGAGGTGTGATCCCTCACCTACTTCCCACCTTTACACACTGTTAACTGTCTTTGATACAGTTTCTGGCTGTCTGGGGTTGAAGGTGAATTTATGTTTCCTTTTCGGGCAGCACCCGAAGAGATTATTTGAGATAAACTGACTGATTTCCACTCTTTACACTCGGAAGTGATCATATAAAGGAGATTCTGCAGCTTTAACAAAAGTCACTTTTAACAGGTTTTAGCTGGTAACCATTTTATTTCAGGATCAAACTACTGTATGATTCTTTCAGGGTGAGAAAATATACTAATCTCCCTTTTGGGTGCACAGAAAAGGTTTTCACACTTGACAACACCCTGCTGTTCATGCTGATTTCAAGAACTATCAGGACTTTGTGTCGCGAACGTTCACATTTGCTGCTTTTATGGCTGCGACACACAAATTAGATCCATAGGAGACTGATATTATTAACACCTTAAATACCTTCAGGTTTCTCACTGCAACAGAAGGCTATTGTTAACATGTAGCACCAGAATTGGCATTAAAGTTTTTGATAAATCTTAAACTTAGAGCTCTAATGGGTAATTAGTTGACTACCAGGCTAAACAAAGCACAAATCGAGGGGTTAGAACCAGAGTTGCGTGTGTGACGTTTTGGGAGAAAATGAGTTGAGAATGTCAAATGAAATCTCTTGATGAGCTCTTTCTATTTCAAAAACAGGGAATGTGTGAATTCTAAACCTATTTATCAAAAACCAAAAGACCTAAAACTCAACAGACATAACTGTTTGGGGCTAAAAGGGCTTAAGTGCACTTTGTTCAATAAGTATATTGTCATCCACATGTTTATGAAGTCTAATAAAGACTGAATTTAATAAACAAAGTCAGCATAACGTGGTCATTTTTTTGTTTTGGCTCTCCTGTAAAGTTGGTCGCCAGCTTTTTTGGGGGATTGTTGCCTCAAATCTCTGATTTCACAGCAGCATTTTTTGAAATAGAAATTTTAGAGAAAGTGAAAATTGCCAAAATAGTTGAATAGATTTGTTTGTATAATTCATTAAAAATCAAAGGCAACTTGTTTCTGAGAGAATAAAATCGCTATAGTTTGGTGACATATGGATCAACATTTTGCATGGAGACTGCTATGTTTGCAGGACGCGGTGATTGGACAAAATTCTGAGAAAGTCACTGTGATTGGACAAAATTGCAGAATTCACAGGAATTGGTTGAATTTGCATTAATCGCAACATCACATCTTCTTGGAGGAACTGACTTACGCCCCTTCTGGTTCTAAACCCTCAAAATTAACATGTATAATCATGAAAAGCCCAAAAGTGTGGGCTCCATTTGTAATGTACATAATGTTCTTGCTCTCTCCTTCAATAAAGAAAAGGAGCATCATCTCCTATTGAAGTAAGCGTTTACATGGTCAGTTACACAGTAACGTCCCCATTAGTGAATTCTAGAGATCCATTGTCAAGCATATTCAAAGCAAACCATTGCCCATTCATCTGGTCCCATTACGGTGGCATGCAGTCCCACAACTCATGGCAGATGCACTGGCAGAACCCGTAGACCATGATCATGACGAGGCTGGCGGGAACCAGGCTCACCAGCAGCACCCCGAGCGTTGTCCTCTGCATGATGAGCAGGTAAACCCCCATGGGCAGCGAGCTGAAGTACAGCAGGCCCAGCACCCACACCAGTGCACGGGCCGAGGTCTGGCACAGGAGGGCCGCGCAGTTCCACACCGTCCACCTCTGCGTGATGGACGCCATAGAGTCCAGACTGGACGAGCGGTAGCCTCGGTTTGACGCGTGGGATCCACGGTGGAGGTCTTGGGTGGATGCAGGCACTGGTGGAGGCTCCATGATGGTAATGACCACAAAGTTAGGGGAGCCCCGGATGGAGGAGTAGGTGGTGGAGGAGGAAGAAGCGGAGGAAGAGGAGGAAGGAGATGTCACAGATGGGCTGCTGCCCATCAGCGAGCTCAGGCGCCTGGGGCTGAGGAGCAGCTCCGTGGTCGCCTCCTGGTGGAAGTGGAGGTTCCTCTGATTCCTGCTTTGGAAGGCCAGCGCCGCCACCAGGTTGCAGTCATCTGGCAGGCTGCTCACCACCTCGCCCGGCAGTCTGGTAATGTAGCGGCAGAACGGACACACCACGGCGTTGGGAGGCGACTCACCCAGGTCCAGGATCTTAGCGAGGCATTTGGCACACAGACGGTGGCAGCACTCCAGCACCTTCGGCCTGCGACTCCCCAGGTTGTACGCACAGTAGCAGATCTTACACTCCAGCTCCTCTGTGCTCAGTACGTCCATGTGGCCGCAACCACCAAGACCCCCTCCGCCGTCCTCAGCACCTTGCAGCTCAATCATCATCGTCCCGCCAAACTCTATCCTGCCTCGAGATCAACAGAAAAATCCAACCAAAGGCTCAGGTCCAGGCTCAGCAGCGAGGGACACGGCAAGTTTCCCATAGATGGAGACAGTGACAACGGTCCACTCCACTGAAGGTCTGGGGTTCATTGTAGCTGTCCAACAGGGTCCTGCAGTGTGTGTGTGTGTGTGTGTGTGAGAGAGAGAGAGAGAGAGAGAGAGAGAGAGAGAGAGAGAGAGATTTGGGAGTCGATGTGGGAAGTCCCTCGTGAGTTCTGGCCTCTGGGGTTTGCCCGCCTCTGAGCAGTTGGGGTAACGGTGCTTCGTTTGGGGCAAAAAAGCCTGCGTGAAAAAAAAAGAGAAAGAAAGTGAGAGAGACTGAAAGAAAGACACAGAGAGAAAGAGAGAGAGAGAGAGGGTGAGAGAGAGGGAGGGAGATAACTGTTAACACAGCATTAGAAGAGAACAAACAGAGGCGAACAACAAAGCAGAGCCTGTACAAACCAGAGCTGGAATTTTCGAGCCTGATCTTTTGTTGCTCAGTGAAATTCAGTCCAATTAGTGGCTGACACACACACACACACACACACACACACACACTATCCATTGTACACTCTATTAATGGTGTGTGGGTGTGCATGCACAATAAAACATGAATGAGTGTGTGTCTGCGTGATGAGGTGTGTGTGAATGAACGGGTGTGACTGTGTGGGTGTTCTTCGTACAGTGTCTCTGCTATGAAGTTTTTTCTTTAACAAAGAAATAAATACATTTTTGTGACCCCTGCTTTCTCATTACATTGTGGGACTTTTTGTACAGTTCTTGAATTTTTACAATCAAACGATAACCACAGGATCATCCCAGGAAATCACAGAATTCCAATCTGGTTTTTCAGTATTCAAACTTAAGTTACGTCTGCTAATAAAACCTAAATATTTCATTTAAAAGAGGATTATGTTAAAAGTTAAGATATCTTAAAGAAGGCCTTTTAAGTGGCATCTAGAGGTGAGGTTGCAAATTACAACTAGCTTGCCTTTCAACAATCTAGGGGCCGCGAAACTTGAGAAAGAGCCAGTGTTTGGTTTGTCCGTTCTGGGCAACTGTAGCAATATGGCGGCTCAACATGGAGGACCCGCTCCCTCTTCCCATACAAAGGGAGAAGCGAGGGGGTTGATGCCACTAACTCCTACACGCTGGACCTTTAACCTTGGAAATAGCAGAGTGGCAGTGGAAAGTGGAGCAGGTCGTTGTTGGAGATCACGGTTTGGCAGCGAGCTCTGGTCTTGATTCGGGTCCAGTACAGTGCGGGCAGCAGTGTAAAAATGGGTCATCATCTCTTTGTAGTTCTTAGTTACCCCCCCCGTTACTCCCCAAGACGGGTTCATTCTGACTCTGTCATGTGTGGCAAGTGGCCCAGTCTGCATGCAGCGTCTCCCACACACAGGCTGGATTCATCTCTGTTATTTTGTTTGTCTAATTCATCGTTTAGTCCATAAAAATGTCAAACACAATGACGACTGCCCATTATAAGGAGTCAGAACTGTGTCATACAATGACCTGAAAGTTCTTAACTAAGCCAATTTTAAGCTTTCTGTGACTGAAAGTGTGTTTTTGTTCATTCATCAGACCACTGGGCTTCTTTTATACTGCAGAGTGAACTGAATTTGGCAAATTGGCAGATTTGTGACCAGAAGGATGGAAACTGTAGCGCTTCGATCATTACACTGCGTGCAGGCTGACCGGCGTCTGTCTCCACTCCTGGTACACAGTGCATCCTGTGTGGCAGCTGCGTGGTTAATCAGACAAAAGTCGCTTTTCCCGGTAAGAAGAGAATGACATTCGGTGTCTCACCGACAACTTCCATAAAATGCTGAAAGAAAGTAAATAAATAAAACTATTTAGTGTATAATCACCTAAAAATAAGAATTGCTGTGTTTTCAATACCTTAGAAATACAATCGATTAATGGATAAAATAATCAGCACATGAATCCATAATGAGCTCCACCTACAACAGTAACATCCTGCTTTTACCTGAATGCATCAGTAATAATAATCTAATGATATAATACAATATCACAGCAATCAGTAGTAACAGTCACATTGTTTGGCATTGAGTACTTTTACCTTTAATAGGCTGTTTTAATATTTCCCTGATCATATTTTACTTCAGTCACATTTTCAGTAGTTTTACTGCGTGTTATTAGTTCTTTTACTGAAGTGAACAGTTGGAATACTTCCTCCTCTCTTGGTTAGTAATGGAAAATAAGTTGCTGTTGGTCAAGTGTGGTCACATGTTCTCTCTGCTTTACTCTGATTTGCTGTCTTTGCATTTTGTTTTTTGTTTCTACACTGAAAAACTCTATTTAATGGTACCTGTGGTGTATTGATGAATGCACTGTTACTGTATTATTAATACTGTACTGTCTTTGTTAGGAGTTTTACTTAAAGCTGTAGCCTATTCCAGCCAAAACAGAGCAACACTACCAACTTATTACTGTCTGTTTATCTCTGGGAAAAATGTCTAATGGCTATTTACCTTCAAGAGGTTTCACTTCCTTTAGTAGCTAGTTGGTATCTTGGTCTGTCTGCTGTTGAGATATATATATATCGATATATATATATATCGATATATATATATCTATTCATTCTCTTCTTTACATATTTACATAGGCAGTATATAGCTCAAACAGATGACGTCACACTCAATAATACACACACACACACACACACACACACACACACACACGCACACACACACACACACACACACACACACACACACACACACACACACACACACACACACACACACACGCACACACACACACACAAGCCTGACGTCAATGACCTGAACCACAACAAAAGGAGCAGCTGAAGTCAGAAACAATGAGACAGGAAGAGTGGTGGGTTGGTCTTTCAAAATAAAATGGGGAAAAAAAAAACATTCAGTGAAAATAAATTCTCTAAAATTCCAGCAGTTAGTATTCCTGTATACTTTAAGTGTAATGGGATAGACTGACTTTAATTATCTTTGACAAATGAATGACCCAAAGGCTGAGAGTGATCAGGGGGCAGATTTATTAAATATAATGTCTCATCATACCATTCATTTTTCCTCATAAATTTGGGATTTTTTCAGATGGTAAAGTGATTTAATCTCCCAAAAATATAGAAATGAACATTTTAGTCTTGTTTTTGTCAAATGTAAAGCAAGTAAAATACAAAAAACTAAATATTAAGCATATTATGTACCAAACCACATATTTACTGCAGTCGTCACATCTATATTTCTTTCAGGTGATGACCCTAAAAAGGAAGAACCATCCAGTATTTACCAAGAAAGAAAAGTATTATATTAGAGAAAAATCTAAAAAAATAAACACATGGAATATATAATATATATAATATAATACGTATTTTATTCCCTTTTATCCTAATAATCATTTTATAACCTCCCTCCCCTCATTTTATAACATCTTATCCAACCGCAGACACTCCTTCCTTTTGATTCTGAAAACCCCAAACCGGATCTACTATCACTCACCATCCGGTTAACTTGACCGCGATCTCAGCTGTCGGAGCGGAGCGGCAGAGCGGAGGGGCTCCGGTCGTTGTCCAATGCTGGGGAGCCGGGAAACAGGAACCGCGGGCGGCGGCGGGGAGGCGGCGGCCGGGTCGTCGGGGCCGCCGAGCGGAGCACACCGCCGGGAGGAGGCGCAGCCCGGCCGCGCAGGGTGTCGTCTCACCGGCCTGGTGAACTGGAGGCAGAGACCGTGCAGGACTACAGCCCTGTGTGCTGCAGCCAACGCGGCGCTCTGGTAGGCACCGTGACGCAGGGATATGAGACAGACTCCCATCAGCAAAACACTGAGCTGCTGTTAATTACAGGGAATATAATGAGCACTGTGGACCGAGCCCGAACCTCCGGAACACAGCAGAATCATTGTGCTTGGATTCAGTTAACAAATCTGTTTTCTTTTCATTCAGAATGATTATAAAATGATGCTTTTATGGGCACATTTACAGAATGAACATAATGGTATTATTTAGTGTCACTTAAGAGTTTATTATTGTTTATCCTGTTTATTTAATCCTTTTTATCGTTTTCTATATTATCTTAATGCACAATAATATCCCAGTGTGTATATTCAGGGCTGTAACCAGAATTTCATTAGTCCAAAGTCCTCCCTGTTTCCAACGTTGTGTTTTTCATTTGTATTAATTAAGTTATATTTTCTATATATTTTGTTATAAAATGATGTAATATTTGGTTTATTTAATGTTTGCTGGGCTAAAAGTAGTCAAATTAAAATGTATTGCGTCTATAAACGTTGGAATAAACCTATAAAATATCCACAGTGAGATGATAACATGACAGAGATTATGCCCCTCAGTGCTCGCTGTAGTGTTACCATCATCATTTCACACAGTGCCTTTGCAAGGAATTTAGACTAAATCAAATTTAGTATCAGTTTAAGACAATAATTACATTTTGTTCACATTTTAGGACACAATTCTACATTCATTTAAATTAATTTTATTGCTGAAAACAAAAGTCAAATGTAAAAATATTGATTAAAAAATACTAAAATCTTCCATAAAACACTCACTGTTTGTAACTTATCTGTTATTTTAGGAACTCCTCATCCTTTAAAAACCACAGATTCCCAGAAACAACACCAAGGACACGTCTTCTGTGTCATTTGGAGCTTTTCTTCAACATTCGTGTGTAAAATGTGTAAAAAATGCGTAAACCTTTCCTTAAAGTACTCAAAGGGCCAAAATAAGGGTCTTAAATGGATAGTTGAGGTATTTTAAAGTGGGGTTGGATAAAGAGCGATGCAGAAAAATGTATTTTATCCATATAAATTGGGTTAACAGTTTAAGTGTTCGTCATATTCAGAATATTTCTTCAGCACTAACCAGTGCTGTAGCGACTGTATACACAGGTATGGAGAGTATATCCACTTATTTTCCAGTCTGCATTGGGTTTACCCACTTCTAAATCCCTAGGATGGCGAAGGCATGACATAGGAGGAATACTTCATTCAAAACACAGACTTTTATGTAGTTCTCTCACTCGTCTGTGGGCCAGTGGCTGATGTTAATTACATAACGATCCTTAATCCCTGAAGTCAAGCAGCAGTAACAATGTGCAAATACTACTGGCCCATTTCTATATGTAAGAGAGGGGCGTATGTCCTTTGCAAGTATACCCACTTGTTACTGTATTCGTATGGATAAGCCCAACCCAAACAGCTGATCTGTGACATAATAAAGTTGGTTTATTCATAGGAATAAGGGATGGCTCCATATACCACTTTTTCATGTCTGATACCGATCTGTCCCTCTCCCGAACAACTAAACCTTTCATATAAAGTACATTATATGGATGCACGTTGCTTAACATAGCCATCTCATGCTCAAACTCTGAGACATTATCCTCTCCATGAAGGAAGAAATACATATCCCAAAGTTTAGTTAAGCCTTTCCATAAGAGTTTAGGCTAATGGATCGTATCGGATTATACTACTTTTTTCATCTGATATCCGAAGCGGTGAGTATCAGCTCACCACACAGGAATATGGAAGTTCTACAGTCTACTGTAGGTAATACACTCAGTATGGATAAGTACCTCATACAATCCCACTTCAAAATACCCAAACTATCCCTCTGATATCACAAGGAAGGCCTCTGTAATCCTGCTTCAGTTTGAAATCATAGTATAGAACAGGATATAATTCATAAATGTTGGAAAAAATACTAGACGGATGCATAACAGTAAGCTTGAGTTCCTTCCTACAGACGTCCAACAGCAACGATGACAAACTAAGAATAGAAAAGTCAATATTTGGTTGTTCTTAGCATATTTGCAAATTAACTAAATAATATGTGCCATCAACAGCTTCAGTCCCAAAATATCCTCCAACAGTCGACGTAGCCCCGTCTGCCAACAACACTCACTGACTGTTTCTCTCCAGGTTTGTGGCCTTCAGCTCTCTCCGAGCCTACAGCCTCCTGGCCGTGCTGCTGGCTCTGCTGGTCGTCACGGTGACCGCCGGAGACATCGCTCGGTCCAGATCCACAGGTGACTTTAAAAACACCTTCTTGTACAGTTTATCCCTGTGGCACGGCAGCGGCACAATATTATCTATTTCTGTCTGCAATTCAACTCCAAATATCTGAATTTTCCTCATGAAAGAAACTCAGTTAGTATCATCGGTAACGCCTTTCTTTACCCTACTGTTCCATGTCAGAATGGTTGCTGTGAAAAAAGGTCTGTTGCAAGTTTTGGGACTGTTGGTCGGACATAAAAAGACTTTAATTACATCCCTTTGGGCTCTAATTGTGTTTTCTGATGTTTTATATACAGACCGGACGATATACGAAATATTTGGCAGATTAATTGTGTTTATGAAAAGAATCTCTGGGCGAGTAACACTGGCAGCAGTTTATCCAAGCTCAGCTTTTCAGATGATTTCACCCTGATGGTGACTCGTTAGCCTGATGAGTCAGGATGAGTCTGAGACGAGGATGAGACACAGATGGTCCATCATCAGCCTGACCGTCGCTCACTAATTGCTTTCCTATTTAGACGCATGTGCTCTTAAAGGTCCAGTGTGTAACATTTAGGAGGATCTATTGGCCGAATATTTATAGTCATGTTTTCATTAGTGTATAATCACCTAAAAATAAGAATGGTTGTGCTTTCATTACTTTAGAATGAGACATTTTTTTGAAGATGTGATTCATCGTATGGTTGAGCTCGGCTGAAATGAGTATCCAGTACAGATAAGGTTTTTTGTACCAGGCCGTAAACATGTTTATTTCTGCTGTAAAGTTGGTCATTTTAATATGGAGACTGACTGCTGGAGCCAGCCTCAAGTGGTCGTTTGAGGAACTGCAGTTTTTGTTGGCTTCATTTGGAGGTTACCGCATGCACACACCTGATTTATAAGCGCTATATGATATCTAATAAATGATTCATAACGAGGTAAAATGCAGATGTGAGCAGACAATAGTATTTATCAGTGATATTGTATATGATTACAACAGCCTTTTTCTATATTGTAATTCATTATCTGTTTATACAGCTGCCTTATTCTACTGTCATAATTATGGCTTATTATTTTTCAGTGATGTGACCTACTCATGTTGATGAATAATAGATTTCTTCTTTCCCACAGGAGCTCACTTATGGCGCAGCATGACTGCAAGGTAGGACACTGGTGTGGATGTATGTTCTGTGTGTGTGTGTGTGTGTGTGTGTGTCTGTGTGTGTGTGTGTGTGTGTGTGTCTGGGTTTGAGCAGCGATTACAGATTGGAGCTTTAGTTCTCGAAACAGATTTGAGAGGCAGATCTGCGCTAAATGCTTAATGTTTAAAGATGGTGGGTGGGGCCAAAGTTCTAGTATAGTTTGGCTTACCAGCTAAGTTAATTGGCAAAATAATTGAATAAAAATACAACTGTAAAGTAAAAGAATGTCAAAAAAATACTTGAATCACTGTAGTTTCTTTCATTTATTTAAGATCCTCAAAGGTCAGGTTAGCTTATAGCTATAGGAGAGTGTAGTTAATTTGAACTCAGAAGCTCAGCAACATTAACTTGCAGCTTCTGTTTAAATAAAGCTAGACTATATTTTTCATTTATTTTGCAGAAGACTTGGCTTTAGAATATTTTACAGTTTGCATTAATACTAGAACCCGACCAATAGGGGATTGTTGAGACCAATACTGAAGCTGGAATGAAAATAGACCTTTTTTGTGTGGATTGTGCACCAGTTTTGAACCAACATGACTATGCGAAGTGCTCGTGATACTGCTTTCTTAAACAAATAACTATATTAAAGTTTATTTAAGTTAAATATTCTTTAACATGTTAAATTATTAAGCAATGTCAACCAGTTCTAGTTGACATTGCTGAGCAGAGACACTCCTTTGCATTGAAAAGAGCCAGCTGAGTAGGTTCCTGGCCGCCTTCCTTTGAAGGTTTTCTTGACACGTCCAAGGCTCAGAACTCGCTGGAGAGATTATATAGCTCATCTGGTCTGGGAACACTTCAGGATCCCTGTGGAGGAGCTGGAAGTCATTGCTTGGGAGGACGTCTGAAGTGCCCTTGTTGACTTGCTGCCACTGTGACCCTACCCACGGATATGCAGACGATAATGGATAGATGGATTGCTGAGAGCTGCTTCTGCTCTCTTACTCTGTGCTGCTTGCCACAGTATTATGAATCACAGCGGTGCCTATATAAGCTCTTTTTTTTTACCCTGGTGCCGTGTTGTGGAACGGCCTTCTGTTACACATAAAGTCTTTAAAGTCCGGTTAGGACCTTTTTATGAAACAATTAAAATTGCAGAAATGTTATTTTAGTTGTTCTAGCTTATTAATACAGAAGTGTAGAGGAAATAAATATATGAACACATCCAGGGCTCTTGTGGTAGAAATCTTCTCATAGACACTGTTTGATGACTGACAGGCTTGGATGGACCAGCAACCGTCTCGGTTGAGTCTGATGTAAGAAACATGAACAAATGTCTATTTTTTTAGGAAGAGTCAAAAGTATAAGTCATGAATAAGTCAATTACAAATTCCAAGGTGCATTTCAGTTAGAAACATTCAATCACTGATTACAGACTTTTTTTTACACTCTGCAGTTTAAATCTGTTTACTTTCAGATTCTGGGTCAACTTGGGATCAATTCAGCAGCTATGAAGCAATGTTTTTGTTTTGTAAGCATTCTCAATTTGCTACAGCTCTGAATGTTTAATACCTGCTGAGTCTTTCAGAGCCATTTCTCCTCTCGATGCAGAACAAACATGTCTGTCCTGTTTGTTACTCTATTAGCAAATAAATCTGTGGCTCTATCTATGAGATATTCTGGCCTTCAGATCCACTCGGACGATGTGAAATGACTTTTAAAGATTTGTTCCTCTTCTATTTGAATCATGCCTTTGAGATAAAGTGCACAGTTTCCTTGAACACGGAGACTGCACTAGAAATGTCAAACTGAATGCACAGGTGTGTTGAATGTACATCCTTTCTGAGAATACACTCATCCTGAATCGGCACTGGGCTGTTGAGAAGCTGCAGCCCTGCAGAGCTGATTGGTCACACATGACCACCTAATCTAATCCTCCCTGGGACTGAACCATGTGAAACACTAAAACCAACAGTTTCAAGTCACAGATCACACTCACCTTGTGATACACAAATGTTTACATGAAAGATTAGCCAAGTAGCTATGATGGAGTATTAGGGATGCTGCAGGGGAAAAATATCTTATTTGAGATATCGAGAATAAAGTTGGAATATTACAAGATTTGTTTTCTTGAAATCTCACTGAAGAATTTACAAATACAAAGCAAAAAAAATGCATATTTTAGAAGAATAGTCTGTTTATTGCTGGATTTAGACACCATAAGAATTTCTTTCTCTATCTAGGTGTGAACCTTCACATTTGAACTTGTACCACTTGGTGGAGCCTGAGCACATACAGTTTGTTCAGGTGACAATATGAAAGCTCACAAATCTTCCACACAACCTTAGACACCAGAGTGAGAACAACAGAGGATCAAAATGCTAAGGAAGAGTACGAGACGTCATTTTGTTTGTGGTTTTTAATCTGCAGTTGATTTATGCAATATTTAAAACACAGCCTTTCAAAAAACTCTAAATTTGGGCATAAAAGTTCAGCAGTTTGACAAAACAAATCTCAACTTAAGGTCCACTTACTAGCTTTTCCTGGAGCTTTAGACTGTATCAAAGACTACAATAGCTTGTTCAACCCCATCAGTCTTGATTGTTTTACTTTTATAAAATGATTTAACTTTTATAAGAATAATCTTTTGCCATATTTGCTGATGATCACTATATCACTTTTTCCAAGCATTTGCTAGAACCCACCTTGCCTGAGCACAAACAGCCAATCAGATTGTTGAGTATCATTCCCAGGTCATTTTGGGTTGGTGGCTTGAAACTTGGGGACCCAAACATTGTTGGAAAATTAATTGTTGATACCTATACCAGTGAAATCGCATAGTTCTTGATTCAGTACTACAGTAAAAAAATAGGGATGCCCCGATCAAGTTTTATTTGCCCCCAATACATATTTAATATCAAGTGTCTACTGATACCAAGTCCCGATCCAATACTTGTATTTTCCTTCTGGTTGGTTGCTTTGGTGCAGCCTTTGCCATCTGTTCATCTTTCCGAGCAGATTACATTAATAGATTACTTTTATTGGCTGTTTGTTGCACTTCCAGTGGTATAGTACTACCTAGGGTACTGTAGAAAAACGAGTACCTTCATGTTTTCAGTTTTTTAGCATCGACTTGGTACTGAAGTATCTCATGACATCTCTAACTCGCTCAGCCATAATTAGAAGCAAGTAAATGAATATATGTTAATTTTTTTCTTGGTGATACAGTCCATGTCTGGTTTGTGACTGAGGACGTGGCGGTGAGTCACATTAGTAGCCTGGTTCACACTCCTGCCCTCATTTTGAAAGTGGCTGTGTGTGTGTGTGTTACTCGATCCCGCTGCCAGCTCTGAAGGCTCGGTGGGATTCAGCAGAGGTGACAGGGATTTGTGGGCGCCAGGCTGGATGCAACACATCTGACTTATATAACTGATAGTTGGGTGAGTCCAGGTCAGGGGCGAGTCATGGAGTGCTGGGGTATAAAGACCTGCAAACCTCATGAGCTGGGTTTCCATCTCACAATAATAACAATATAGAAAGACTGAATCCAATTGAGCTAAAAATGTGGCCTTCATCGGGGAAGACAAGCACACACAGTATGACCTCCCGGGTAGATTCGGATGATGGGTTTTGCATGGATGAATTAAAGGAGAACTGGACACAGCATCCATTTATTCTTATGGAGGCTGGTCAGAGGTGATGAAGCCAAAGAAGTTTGATTTCCTGGTATAAAATTACCTGGATGTTTTGCATATGCTTCCTCATTGTTGGGCCCACAGAGCAAGTGCGCTAGAGACTTCTGCCAGCCGAGCCGCTAACTTACGGTTTAGCCCTCCGCTAAAAGGATTTAATCTTCTAGACTTCCCAAATGTAATTAGACTGAACGGATCGAATTCTGATTAAATACAAGTCATTTCTTACACATAAATTAAAGTGTCCTCCAATTTTTTGGTGTTTTTCTTCTTGCACTGCGGAAACATTGTTTCATTCATTACAGGTTTCTTCTATCCTAATAAGATATATAACACTAAATATCTCTCTGTACCTCCCCCCCCTCTCTCTGTGACATTTGGCCAGCAGGGTGGGATTGTGTTGTTGTCACCTGCTGTTGTCTGTCAGAGGTGTCTTGTGGGTAAATTGCACATCAGCCTCAGAGCAAGTCTCGTGGGAGATTAGCTGTTGACCCAAAATGCGAGCTGACAGCTGGGATGTTTGAACCAACAACGTCCCCCGCTGTTGTGACTCTGTTTATGTGTGTGTGGTGAATGTAGTCTAAAACCTACATACAATATATAGTTTAATTTACCATGCCAAACATCTGTCTTACCCACATGGGATTACAAGACATCGCTGTTTTACAAAACAGTAATACCAGTAATACAAAAACAGATTACCACATTATAAAGTACTTCGTTCTTTGCTGTAATATGTTGGTGTCACTGCAAAGTTTATCCAGCAGAGTGCGCTGTGATTTACAATACTGTGGCAAGCAGCACAGAGGATACGTACACCAAGTCCATATTTTTCGTACGTGTCTTTTTAATCTGTCATCCGATTAAAATTGTTACACACAGAAACCTTGCACACCGATGCACTCTTTGCAAAATTCACAATACGAGACTTCATCGCAGAATGAGGATGATTTTGGGGTCCTCTCACTTGAAACAGATCATTATCAAGAACAAGGAGAGTTGTCTACTCCTGCTGTCGTTCTGTCTCTCGCTCCTTCTCCCTTGTTTCCTCCCTTGTTTCTCTCCATTGGAGGTTCATCCGTAGGCTATCGCTACTGTCTGCCCGCGTCTTGCATTTGCAACCGCTGCTGCAAGAGGCTGAGGTCCTCCTCTATCTGTATGCTGTCCTCATCCTCTATTTCATTCGACCGATGCAAAGAAACTCAGAAAATCAAACCTGTTTTGACATAACGTGAGGTCGTATTTAATGGATTAAATAAGAAGCAGCTCTCCGTAATGTCAACTAGAAATGGTTGACGATGTATATTATTGTATATGTTGTTTTG